CGAATCTAATTTACTCCTCACACTATTCCTGCATGGCTCAATATTGGATCGTAAGCTAATTTAAATACGAATTAATAACGAATTACGAAATTAATGAATGAAACCGCCCAAGCCTAATCTCTACAACAACACTGACAAAGAAACAACAAGAAATACTGTTTACCCACAAGCATAAAGAAATTACATATATTAGAAAGCAACACTTTCTCATTAATTTATTTTCTGAATCATCAGACTGGGCCACAGCAACGCATGGCAGGGGACAGCTAGTAAAATACAAATTCATAGTGTCTCCTTGTTAAAAACATTGTCCGGACTCATTGTCTAGTCGTTCCATTTTCCTAAGTCAGTTACTCTGCATTTGCAAACACTTGTTCAAAAAGCCACGTCTTGACTTTTTTCCAGAATGTTAAAAGGGAGGTGGCCGATCTAATATCTATAGGGAGGGTGTTCCACAGCCGAGGGGCCACCACCGAGAAGGCCCTGTCTCTCGTCTCCACTTCTCTCTCGTCTCTAGAGAAGAAAACGTCACTCTCTAACTTGACACTTTCCAAAAGTCAAAGTCAAAGGTGGTAATGAGAGCAGGGCCTTCCCAGACAATCTTAAGCTCCTCTATTTCCGCAACCTATCGTGCACAGATCTTCCAATAGCCAAGCAAAGCAATAATGTGACCCACACGTTCTGAAATGCCGATTATGCTTGAAAATTCTCTCTGAGTGATATGAATCAATCTGTCAGCCTTTTGCTTGTGAAACTCGGTGGTTGCTGTCACAGGAGGTTGAACACTTTGGTTGTCATGCAAGTGAAATGTTCCCATCTTAACATCTTTAAACTTACCCAATGACGCATAGTACTTACATCAACACAATCACCATAAACAGCTTGCATTCTCTGATGAATCTCCTTTGGGGTGACACCTTCTGCTGTCAAGAATCCAATGACTACACGTTGTTTAAGTCGCATTGACCGACCGTCTGCACAGGGTTCCATACTTCGCACTTTAACAATGCAACTGTTCAATGCTAAGGCTTCCCGCCAAAATGGAACTGTAGAGGAGAGTCTACTGAACAAGCCAGTACCTGCCACATACCAGTACTGCCATCTGTTGAGGAGTTATGAAGGTGGAGGCATTACTTTTCATTCAGCCCTCGTATTCTTGCCAGAGGAGGTTGAAGCTATAATTGCAGCAAGTGGAAGTTAGTGGCCCTCTTGTAAGAGAAGGTCCAGCACCTTGTGGCCCAGGTAACTACACTACAAGGGAAGAAGACTTTGTCCTGGATGCAGCAGAGCAGGAGAATCACAAAGAGGATCCCTCTGCGGAGGAGGTCATGCCCCAAACAGTAGACACTGGAGTCATGTTACACATAGGAGTAGAGGCACCAGGAATCACTCTGTTTGGAACTATAGAATTGATTCGAAGTTTGCTCCAGAATAAGTGATGGTGCAGAACTAGAAGTGCAACAAAGGGCTCTTCCACACAGCCATATAACCCAGAATATCAAGGCAGAAAATTCCACAATATCTGCTTTGAAATGGATTATCTGAGTTCACACTGCAATATAATTCCAGTTCAAAGCAGAAAATGTGGGATTTTAATCAGCTGTGTGGAAGGGGCCAAAGCCAGTCTGAAGCACAAGAGATGGCTCTGCCAATCCTCCAAAAAGATGAGTGGTGGTGGTAGTGAAGCTGATAGGAACTTTAGGAGGGTCATCCCCGGGAGGATGGACCCTGAGACCCCACCAAAGAGGGATCGTTACTTTGGCAGGCCAGAGAAGCCTGATTTCAGCAATTTTATTGAGCTTAAAATAATTCAAAATAATCCTCACCAAAGTTGAAGAAGAAGCACCAAGGTGTTTTATTAGCGATTCAGCTGAAAAGGATGCAATGTAGCAATCATTCGCCTACAAAGCATGCCAGTACAGAGATCAGAGACATTTTTATAGGATCTACAGGCTTAGCAGTTTCAAAATTCCCACCCTCCGCCCGGCTCGCTGGTGATTGGCTAGGGAGGAGGCTCGACCGCCCGCCCTGTGCCAGAGCCAATCACGGAGCTCCTCTGCAATGCAGGAGCCAATGGGAAAACTCCTACTGCCTCAGCGCCCTGGCGAATCAGGAGAGGGGAGGCGGGACAAGGAAGAAACAATGGGCAGGTGAATGGATTAATGGGTTTAATGCCCAGGGGGCCCGGAGCCCGAGAAACGTGGTTCGCGACGGATGTCCAGTCTATTGTTTTTAAATGGAGTTGCGATGAGCGTTGATTACTTTATCCGAGTCTTCCTGTTACAATCAGATAAGGCACAAAGGAGAGGCTTGGGGTGAATGTTTGTCATGGCAAGTTTGAAAGGAGAAACAGTTTCGGTGGGAAAGACCCTCTTGAGAGTCTCCTGCCCCCCCCCCTCCCCCAGGGTGATGTGATCAAAAGTGCCAAGCGAAACCTTTTCATTGAATGGGCCAACTCCGAGGTTCAATTTAAGGTCTCCAATTCTATGTTTTTCCATGCACAAGTTATCATGATAAGAGTTCTTTTGTGATAGCTAATCGCCCCTTTCAACAGCTGGCCGCTTCCTTGATGAGCTTCTTCCAGGAAGGAGGGGAAAGGGCGATGGGTTGGGTGCCAGGACAGGAATTAAGAAAAGATACATGGGGAATAGGTACAAATATTTGATTTATTTGCGCAGTGTGACATTAGGACAGAATAGTAATAACATTGGGTCTGAACCCTCCGTCTTCCTAGAGGAACGGTACTTTTGCAACACTCAAAGAGAGCACAAAGAACCAAGGACTGGGGGATGCCCCTTTATTGAGACACACTCAAGTTCTTTCCAAAGGCCCGTTACTTGAGAGGGATGAAGCGAGACGAGTGAGTGGCCCCAATTCCTGGCCGGCCGTGCTTCACTGGCTTGTAGGTTATTGAGAACTCCCCCAGGTAGTGGCCAATCATCTCAGGCTTGATCTCCACCTGGTTGAAGATCTTCCCGTTGTAAACGCCCACCATGCTGCCCACCATCTCGGGGAGGATGATCATGTCTCGCAGCTGGGTCTTGACCACCTTGGGCTTCTCCATCGGCGGGGCCTCCTTTTTGGCCTTACGCAGGTGCTTCAGAAGAGAGTGCTGTTTGCGGTGCAGGCCCCGGTTCAGCCGTTGGCGCTGGCGGGCACTGTAAAGCTGCATTAGCTGTTCATATGACATGTCGAGGAGCTGATCCAGATCAACTCCCCGGTATGTGAACTTCCGGAAGGTCCGCTTCTTCTTCTGCTCCACTTCCACCATCTTGGCTTCAGTCTTCTCGGGGGAAAGAAAATATAGGAATCCAAAGAAATTCATACAAAACATCCCTTCCCACCCCCTGCCCACTGGGGAAATTGATTAAAATATTAATTTTAATAAAACATGTTTCCATAGTTCATACTGGAGAAGTTCAGACGTGAAAATAAGTTCCTTTGAGCCAAAAGGAAATTGAGGAAAGTCCAAAACGTCATGGAAAGGTGCTTGATTATCTTCACTGAGCCAAAGAATGGATTTCTGCAATGCCAGGATCGAGTTGGTCTTTGGTCCTTGGGAAACTATAACTCCTTCCAAGGACTGGGGCCCCAAGGTCAGGCTCTTCCCTGAAAGCCTCATGGGGTTCTTGTTGTTGTTAGTGTCTTGGCAAATTGACCAAAACTTAACCCCTTTGTGCAGTCTGGTACCCTTGCCCTTTGCAGAACTATAAGTTGCCATCCCTTATTTGGGGGGGGGGGGTCATGCTCAACTTCAGTAGGGAATTCCTTGCTGAGCGGTATGGAAGAAGTGCTTTGTTGACATGACAGAATGCCTGGAGAGGTTTACTGTCTCCCTGGAGCAAAAATCCCAGATGCAGCAGAAATGCTGACAAGCCCAATGACACTGCAAGGCATAGCTGTTAGGAGATCACATGTGATTCTGAAGCTATGGACAGGAAGTCAATGTCCAAGTCATAATTTTATTTCTCCTTTCAGTTCATGGGTGCAGCTTATGAGGCTTATGACTGGACTGTAGTAAGAGAGGGATATAACCTAGTTCTGAAAAACAGGCCAAACAAGAAAGGATAGCAAGTCGCATTGCATATCAAACTGTTCAGCAGTGGAATGTGCTGCCTCAGAGTGTGATAATGTCTTCTTCTCGAATGGATTTTAAGCAGAGGCTGAAAGGTCATCTGTCAGGGGTGCTTAGCCGGTACTGCACCACCTGACTTCCGCTGGGAAGTAGCAGCCAATAGTGAAAGGACCAAGGCAGCAACATCTCCAGCTCATCCCTTGTTTGGGTATCAGCCAGCACGTCAACAACTTAAATCAAGAAATAGTTTTCTTAGATCTACAGAGACACTCGCTGGAACACCTCAGCAAGCGAGAGTCCAAAAGTGGCAGGCTCAAACCCAGCACCTCAATCCGTGGGTGATACCAGATGAGAGACTCCCCCCTGGGCACACAGAAGACTGGGCGACTTGGAAGGTGCTGAACAGACTGCGCTCTGGCACCACGAGATGCAGAGCCAATCTTAAGAAATGGGGCTACAAAGTTGAATCCATGACATGCGAGTGCGGAGAAGAGCAAACCACAGACCACCTGTTTCAATGCAACCTGAGCCCTGCTACATGCACAATGGAGGACCTTCTTGCGGCAACACCAGAGGCGCTCCAAGTGGCCAGATACTGGTCAAAGGACATTTAACCAACTACCAAGTTTGCAAAATTTGTGCTTTTTTATCTGTTTGTTTGTTTTGTTCTGTTAGAAATGTAATACAATGGTATGGTTGCTGATGACACGATAAATAAATAAAGGTGCTTTGATTGTGTATTCCTGCATTGGCAGGGGATTGAACTGGATCACCATTCTGATCTCTTCCATGATTCTATGATGTATGAAGAAAAAAAGATGTATTTCCCAATTTTTAAAATAAAGCATTTATTTCTGAATTTTTCTTGTTTCTCATTATCTGTTAAACACTGCGGTTGGGCCACCACAGAACAGGATTTTTTTTTTCAAATTGTAATTCTCTCTTTTTGCTTGTTATTAAAAGAATTTTGAGGTTGAATTGGTGTAATGATTTGCGAGAGCGGCCCAAGATGTGGAAATTCGGTTGGTTGCCCATGGGTAGCTAGGATCCTGGAATCAGAAGAAAAGAAAATTATCTTTTTAATGTGAATATGAATTTCAGGCTCCAGAGTATCATTACTACTGATGATATCCGGAAAGAAACCTGTTTATGATGAGCCATGTCACAGCTTTAGAAATTCACCTGGATTTGGTTTATTTATTTATTTATTTATTTATTTATTTATTTATTATTTTGAGCTTTTATAACCTGGTCTTCTCGACCTCCGAAGAGGGACTCGGGATGGCTAACAGCAGAGGGTTAAAATACAATAAGATAAACCACAGTAAACATCATAATACAATAGTACAAAAATACATTAAAATACAATTATACAACTTACAAAAGGTCAGTTCGTCAGAATAAATAATAAATTCATCACCATCCACCCGTGTGGTCAGCAGTTATTGACTCAGTCACCATTCTGCAAATGCAGTATTCCAAAGCCATGTTTTTACCAGCTTTCTAAAAGTCATGAGGGAAGGATCATTGGGAGGGAGTTCCAGAGCCGAGGGGCCACCACTGAGAAGGCCCTGTCCCTCGTTCCCACCAATCGTGATTGCGAAGGAGGTGGGACCGAGAGCAGGGCCCCTCCAGAAGATCTTAATAACCTTGATGGTTCATAGGGGAGAATCCGTTCGGACAGGTAAATTGGGCTGGAGTCATTTAGGGCTTTATAGGTCAACACCAGCACTTTGAATTGTGCTCAGAAACTGATTGGCAGCCAGTGGAGCTGGCGCAACAGAGGAGTAGTATGCTCCCTGTACTCCGCTCCTGTTAGTAGTCTGGCTGCCGCTCGTTGGACTAGTTGTAGCTTCCGGGCAGTCTTCAAAGGCAACCCCACGTAGAGAGCGTTGTAATACTCTATACGGGATGTAACCAAAGCATGGGCCACCGTGGCCAGATCAGACTTCCCAAGGTACGGGCGCAGCTGGCACACAAGTTTTAATTGTGCAAAAGCTCCCCTGAACACCGTAAATGCCATATACACACTTCTTTCATAGGCATGAGAGCAAACTTTGCACCAAAATGAAGACACCTCACAACAGTTATGGGTTTAAAACTGGGCAACTTTATTAACTGTTACCTAATTAAATCTATAACTGGAACTCATGATCAGACTAGCATGAATGTGTATTGTATAAAGTGTGTTATATTGTATTGTATATGTCCCTTCGCAGCCTACCCCTCAGCTCAAAGGGCGAAGCACCTGGTCTCTGGTGAAGTAAACCTGGGCACCTTATAAGCAGTGTGTGGGAGGAATCTTCCCCAAGGATGTTGAGGTAAGACCCCTCCCATTTCGAAGCCATTTATTTTGTGTTCACTTTGTTTAGTATAACAACCGGTGATGTTTTATGTTAATGGCCTTTTCCTCAAAAGGGGGTGCCTTGGGTGCACACCAAATGTACTCATTTCTAGCTGTTTTTTCCAGGAAACCTATTTAAACCACCAAAAAAACCCAATCTGCCCCCTAGTAACTGTCAGGATTAATTTAGTTATGTATGTGTTTTAAATGTGCTTCTATGTATTGCCAATATGGATTCCACTGTGTATTAGAAATGCTGTGCAGAATGTTCATACCATGAGGCTGTGATTATGTAACCTTGAGAGAAATAAGATAATGTTTGCCCTTACAGAGTGATGGCTCCTTTACAAACGTTTACAAATTTGGTGGCCTCATCACAAATTAGTGGCATCTTCATGAATTGTTACACCGTGGAAAAGGAATCTGTGAACCCCACCTCCTCCAGGACGAACTAAACCACCTAAACTGGGCTTTACATGCCAATGCACACTCCATCTCAGACATCAGAAGAGCTGCAAGACTGAGAACAAGCCTTTAAATTGATAGCATAGTTTATAGCTAATAATATTGATTTGGTCTTTCTTCTGTGTAGCGTGACTTAACTTGGAAAGGAATTGTATCAGAGACAAGGTTTTAGGAAAAACAGTAACAAATTTATTGAAATGTAGAAGGAGCATGATGGTTTCAATGTAACTTAACTCTTAGAGGCACAAATCTTCAAAGGTTACATTTATAACATTCCTTAAACAACTCTGGGAAGGACACTTCCTTCCACTAAACAGATTTCAAACTTATTTTTCTTTAAACTGTGTTTCTTTCCTTAATAGGCTACTTCAGTTACAAGCTTATTCTATCTTTGTGATGTTTCTGTTGCAATAGAGATCCTCACTGGGTTTCTCTCACCCTTTCTTTCATTCACTAACTATTAATATAATTAAGTCAAGGCGACTTATTTAAACTACTCAGGCTAAAAGCCAAAACCTTCCTGAGAGTTACTTGGGGATTTCGACATGTGAGGAAAGATTCATTCCCCTCTCCAAATGCCATGGCCTATCCCTGATCAATTCCATGGAGGGAATAAAAGAGTGGTACACATGATATTAAACAAATGTAAAAGGATTTGAGATAGAATTAAAATTTCAAAGGCAAATACAAAGTAAAGCCACAAACAAGTAGTAGTATCAAAAATCATGAAAATATAAACAGTATGTGGTGGTTTAATCCCCGTTTTTAATGAAGCAAGGAAAAATTATGCTTAATAGTTACATTATAGTTACATTGCTTAATTTGCTGAAATACCTTTGAAGAAAAATCCAAATTATGATTATTTCTTTAAGGAATAATTAAGTAATGTGTCTCACACTTACCCATACATTCGTGAAACTGCTGATGGTGATGTTGGTGGAAGATTAGAATTTGCTGGTTGGGTAGCTAACCAATGAACCTTGCCAGCATATCCAAAGGTGTTTGGATTGCTAAGAGGAAAAGTTGGAAGAAGAAGGGGAATTGATTAAATGGGCTCGGGTTTAAAATAATGTGTCTCGAGAGCTGTAATTAAAGAGAAAAAAAACCCGCTGCTTTATTTTTGCTCACAGGCAGTGGGTATATGGAGTGGTAAGTAAAAGATTAAGGCTAGAGATGTACTGAATTTGTGCAGCCCAAAATCATTGGATTATTTTCTTAGTGCAAATCAAAACAATTCTATAATTTGCAGGGAACTCTGGCTATCAGGTTTTTGTTGTTTGTTTTTTTGCTTCCTTGACTTTTTAAAATTCATTTTCTTACATATTCACTACAAATTAAAAATAAAAAACAAACACAGACACTAAAATAAGAAATAAAGCAAAAAGATTTGATAAAAAACAGCCCCCAGATGATGATGATGATGATAATAATAATAATAATAATAATAATAATAATAATAATAACAACAACAACACTTTATTTGTACCCTGCTACCATCTCCCCAAGGGACTCGGTGCAGCTTCCATGAGGCCGAGCCCAACACAACAATACAAGCAATAATAACAACAATACAAGCAATTAAAAATATAAACAATAAAATACACAACATTATCAAAAGACAACACACAATTAAAAACAGTGGGAAGGCCACATGTAGGGTTACAATTGGAAATAATGCCGGGACATGGACGAAAGGTGATACTGGTGTTTGTGGAAGGGCATACGAGCAGACTTAAATAAATGTAAAGTGCTTTGGAGAACAAAGTGCTATGGGATCATTATTCCGGGAAGGCACACTGGAACAGATATTCCCACCCCTTTGCTTCCCCCACATCCCTACCAACTCAAACTAACATCTAAAACTGTACCCCATTCCTTTGAAAAATAGAAAATTAAAAAAAACATTAAAAACACAATTAAGTCTTCTCTCCGCAAACAAAGACAAACTTGCTTGACTGAATTGCACTTCAGTGTCTGCTAAATATAACAAATAGATTTAAAATCAATACATAACCTTGAATAATATTCATATCATAACAATTTTAAAATGGGATTAAAACAAAAATGATCATAGTTTTTGTAATACTTTAAGGCAATCCTCATGGTTCAATTTCTCTACCTTCACTCATTCATAAAGTGGATGGTATACAAAAGAAGCCTAAATATTTTAGGAAGTACATACAGGTTGAGGAAACAAGGTGGGATTTATTTCTTTGTAAATCCTTAGGTTCCGAGGACATCTAGTGGTGTACGTCATATATGCACAATAATGATCCTTACTCTTATTCTACAGTAATAATTATTCTTAGTCTTAGTCTTATATTTATTTGCATCCCTCTCTGTTGACTGAGAGGAGCTAACAACATTTTAAAAAGTGCAATTTAAATTTCACAAATAAAAACACATTTTTTTTTCAAAATTGTTAAGATAATCAAATACCCCAAAAAGTTCGACAACACTTTAAGAAAAAAAAATACAAAAAAGGACAGATGAACTATCAAAAGAGCATACAAGTAGGAAGCAAGAACACAAAGTTTATTCTGCTTTAGCATATTTTAAACAGATCTCCTATGAGTTGAGGATACTGTTCCATTATTCGGGCAGAGGCCACTAGGGGGCACTAGAGAGAGGAGGATATTCCATTTTACAGGGGGGAGTTGAAGAGTGACAACCATTACCCCCATTTTCACTGGCTACTCCTCCTCCCCACTTCCCAAATCATAAAAGAGGGTTGTTCCCTGACAGGGAAATGGGTGGGGGGAATAACAAGAAAACAAGGGGAAATAATTTTATGCCCTCAACCCACCCTCCATGCCTGTAAAATTGACCATCCATCTCTCTTTAATGATACCTTGTGGCCTCCGCCAGGATAATAGTACTTAGATTATTTTTTTGTCGTGTCAGGAGCTACTTGAAAATTGCAAGTCGCTTCTGGTGTGAGAGAATTGGCCGTCTGCAAGGACGTTGCCCAGAGGATGCCCGGATGATTTTGATGTTTTTATCATCCTTGTGGGAGGCTTCTCTCATGTCCACGCATGAGGAGCTGGAGCTGATAGAGGGAGCTCATCTGCCTCTCCCCGGATTCGAACCTGTGACCTGTCGGTCTTCAGTCCTGCCGGCACAGGGCTTTAACCCACTGCGCCACCTAGTTGAGTAATAAAAATACAAACTTATTATCTAAGAACTATTATCCTGGCGGAGACCACAACGTGGCACTAGAGAGAGAAGAATGGTCAATTTTACAGGCATGGAGTTTGGGTTGAGGGCATAAAATTATTTCCCCTTGTTTTCTTGTTATTCCCCCCACCCATTTCCCTGTCAGGGAACAACCTAAAATGCCCCTTGTTTAACCAATATTTCTATGTCTGGTCTCGTTATTTCATGGTTGATCATGAAAAATAGGAATACTAATAATATAGATAACCAGAGTCCTGAATTTGCAAAATATGAGTTGCACTTGGATGCCTCTCATTTTTGGGGTCACCTTAAACTGAAGCTGACACCACGTAACACTAGGTGTCAGCTTCACTAGGATGCGGAACAATGGCTTCAAACTACAAGAGAGGAGATTCCATCTGAACATGAGGAAGAACTTCCTGACTGTGAGAGCCGTTCAGCAGTGGAACTCTCTGCCCCGGAGTGTGGTGGAGGCTCCTTCTTTGGAATCTTTTAAACAGAGGCTGGATGGCCATCTGTCAGGGGTGATTTGAATGCAATATTCCTGCTTCTTGGCAGGGGGTTGGACTGGATAGCCCATGAGGTCTCTTCCAACTCTTTGATTCTATGATTCTATGATTCTATGAACACATTCCATTTGTAACCAAAATATAAACATATTTAAAAGTAAACTGAATTAAAATAGTAACATTGTAATTATTGTGAATGGTTCATACTTTTACTAAATATATTTTCATGAGCAAATTAAATTATCTATAACTGGTTTTATGTTCCTAATCAACTTACACATTCACTCAGCCTCAGAAGAAGGCAAAGATAAACCGCATTTGAATAAATGTTGTCAAAACAACATAAGGATCACCTTATGATTGCTGTAGTTCAGAACCGATGTGATGGCACCATATTTTTTAAAACAAAATAAAATGATTAATACATTTGTAAAGGATACTAAAATTACTATTTCTTTTAGATTTCATGAAAGATAAAAAGCACACACACAACTTTTTCCCTATAGCTTTCTTATGACTTTGGGTATTTTTGGTCACAAGGCAGCATGACTTGTGACCAAAGCTCTATTTGAATGAAGCTCTATTTGACGAAAGTTGAAATAGCAATCGTTAGATTAAGAAAGAAACAGAAATTTACATACTAGGAAGATTTCACATAACGTGGCTTGGCACATCGAACTCTGCTGTGCATCCTTACTTCTACATATGGGTTGTCTAGGTCTTCTACGTTCTCAGCACCAACACAGCCTCTATTTGGAAGAAAGATGGGGGAAATGTGATCTATAAATAATGCATAACACAGATGCTGAGGCCACTGAAGCAAACTCCAAGTTTTGCATTATTTATTTAAAAGGTGCTCAAGAATATACATAGCTGAGCTGCCCTCAGTGCAGTCACATCCCAAGGTGAACAAAAAGACCAGTCATTGTTTGAAGTAGATATAAAAAAACGATGACATCATGAAGTCTGCTAAATTGACAGTCTCGATTTTGCAGTTTGAAGCAGAAAAAAATTATCAAGCCATTGTTGGGTCACAAACTATGCAAAGAGCAAATAAAGTGCAGGTTTCCACATAATTTTTTGCTGGCTTTGTAACCAGTTTTTTTTTTTATCACTGGCCCTACATCCTGTTATGTGCTTTGTGATATTCATAAGGTTCACATAAGCTGCTGCCATGGTCAGCATTCCAACCACTCCTTGCTCAATCAATCAAATTTTAGTTTATACCTATTTTTGACACAGGCTGAAACATGCCAGTACTTCTTGTAGTCTTTTAGGCTTCCCGCCAAATGGAACTGTAGAGGAGAGTCTACTGAACAAGCCAGTACCTGCCACACACCAGTACTGCCATCTGTGGAGGAGTTACGAAGGTGGAGGCATTACTTTTCATTCAACCCTTGCACCTATGTTTTTAACCAACATTTATTTTGAGCAGTTTTTAACCGTTGTAATGTTATTATGTCTTCTGCATTGGACTTGACTGAAATACGCTTAGCGCAACAAGATGCACTGGTGCACTGCAGACAATCAGACTATATCTCAGTTTTTAGTCTAGCATTAATAATGGATTATTAATTTTCCCAAGATCATGTTAATATTTGACATCTAAGATACTTGAGTTGCTCTAGCTGTCTCAAAATGCAATATGATAAGATACTCAGAAGAAAATAGATTGTACTGTAACTTTTAAAGGATTCATGTTGACGTCTATCCTGGTGTACAAAAATGTAGCAAGACTTTCATTATTTCTATCTATCAAGAAATGGACCCATTTTCTTTCTCAGCAGAAACACAGCTGGGCTTCAGTTGCATCTGTCCCTTCAGAAAAGAAACAGAAGTGACTAGGCTGTGTTTCTGTCCAAGAAATAAAACAGAAGTCTATGTTCTTTCTGGGTGAACAGAAACAACTGAAGCCTGAGTGCAATTTTGTCCACCAGGAAAGGACACTAAGTGCTTTCTCTAGGGAAGGAAACACAGCTGGACTTCCATTGTTTCCCTCCACAGAGGAAAGAGATGGCTTCCCACCAAACTTGGCATCCAGGAATGGGTTGCAGGGAGTTTAGAACAGTCAGCCTGGCCCTCATCTGTCCTCTCCTTCACCCATGAAGAGCTTCAGTATAACTGAAATCAAATAACACCATCCTGTGGCCTATCATGCTTGAGTCTGTGAGCAAATTATGCTGGAACTCTTCCTCAAAGCAAAGATGACTAAAATGAGATTGTTTTACTTTGTTAAGAAAAGAAATGACTCATTAGATAAGATAATAATGCTTGGTAAGCAGAAGGTACTACCAAAGGAGGAAGTTGGCATTACAGATAGATAGTCCCAGTGATGGCTCTGAGTTTGCATGGTCAGAAAAGGAAATTGCTGACCAGTGATCTTGGAGGTATCATTTGCAGGTAGTCATAAGTAAAAATTGACTTAATTGCAATGAATAGCAACATTCATTTGCACATTTTTAAAGTCTAAAGAAATGTTATTCCAGTAGCATTTTGGCATGGTGAATTTGCCCTCAATATTGTATTGAAATGGCAGGGAGAAGGTTTGAGGAAAAGAGACGAAAGAAGGTTCCTGAGGTCTGTAAAAGCATGGTTTATTCTCGGTTGGCACCAACCAGAAAGGGACCCTGTTGGTATTCCAGAAATCGGGGTGATGAACAAAGGAATTGCCTTGGTTTATAAACCCTTTAAAATAATATGCATGCATCATACAAATATCACAATGTGTGTCACAAAATTCCACTTTTACATTGTCTTCAATAGCATATTTTAACTTCAACACCTTTAATCTCCCATTAAGCACCTTTATCTAAAGACCTGCTAGTAGTGTACCATCCTGTAACCCATAGCGCCAGAGTGTCTACTGATAGCAAGAGCTTCCATCCATCTTGAGATAAGTCCTCCCTGATACCAAGAAGCCTCTTGATGACCAGGCTTCATAATTAACCTTATGATAAGCCCTGCTTGGTATGAAATGGAAGAGTCTCTGATATTTGCCAGAAGCCTTAAACATTCTGTTCCTAGACCCTGGCCTCTTTCTGGCCTCTTTATGGCATCTAATTTGCAGCTTTTAAGAGGAGAATATTTTCCCAAGTGAAGTAAAGTTCATGCATACATATCCCTTTGTGATTTCATATATATTTTCTAATTCCTATTTCTAATATGGTTACATCCAATATTGTGTATTTTCATCATGCCTTCATCAGTATTTGCACTGGGGATGAATCTTCTCTATTTTTTGTTTCCAATTAAGCACTGAATTAGATTTCTATATTGGCCATCTGTTTATAGTAGGCTTCTGCAATCCAGGTAATCTGTGATCTGTTTTGGTGTCCCGGATTTCGGTGGGGGTCTTGACCCATTTTTCAGAAGCTTCCCGAATTCAGGAGGTCAGAAACCCATTTCAGTCCGAGAGGCCAAAATATTCATTTTCTGTCCAGACCATTGGGGGGGTGGGGCTTCCCAGGCTTCCTTTCCAGTCGTTTTAGGCATTGTTTGTCCTTATATCCTTCATTAAGAACTGGATTAAAAGCATCAGAGTTAGGATACCACTCTTTCTGCGATCCTTTCCCTTCTGTCTGTAGAGGAGACTAGGTTTAATGCTTACTTAAAGCTGTTTCTAGTCTAGAGGAGTAAGGTGTTGCAGGAGCGTACAGCACTCTCTCTCTGCAGCACACAGCTTCCCAAGGCATTTTAAGGAGGCTTCCCCTCTTTCCAGGGAAGAAAGAGTGATCAACCTGGAGCTATTCTACCCTGGGCTTCCTTTAAAAAGCCTTCTCCTTTATCTTGATTTACAGGTTGCTGACTTCTGGAGACCACTCGCACTTTTCCTTCTAGCACCTGCTTCTCTCCCACACTCCACTTGTAACCAAAGGCAGCTGGTTTTCAACAGCCACTGTTCTGTTGTGTCCAAAAAAAAAAAAGGATGCTGAGACCTTGCTATTAGGGCTATCCGGACAAGCCAGACCACCCAGATTAGTAAAAGGAAACTGGGCAAATAGAATCCGTGCACGAGCCTAATCTATAGTCATCTGATCTATTGCCTGAAGAATGTGGTGTGTAATGAAAAAACAGCTGGGCATATCAAATTCAGTAAGTCACTCTCCTGCTTTGTGTCTGTACATTTCCCTGTACAATCTGCTTCTGTACATTTTCCTGTTTATATTACATTTCAAAAATTGTAGTAGAAAAATAACCTTTTCAAGGTATTGTTGAAGGCTTTCATGGGTGGAATCACTAGGTTGTTGTAGCTTTTTCAGGCTATATGGCCATGTTCTAGAAGCATTCTCTCTTGACGTTTCGCCTGCATCTATGGCAAGCATCCTCAGAGGTTGTGAGGTCTCACAACCTCTGAGGATGCTTGCCATAGATGCAGGCGAAACGTCAGGAGAGAATGCTTCTAGAACATGGCCATATAGCCCGAAAAACCTACAGCAACCCAACCTTTTCAAGCTTTGTACAGCCTGAAAAACCCATAACAACCTAATGATTCCACCCATGAAAGCCTTCAAAAATACCTTGAAAAGGTTAGTTTTCTACTACAATTTGCGAAATGTAATATAAACAGGAAATGAAATTTCCTACTTAACATAAGATATCTATTTTTTTCTTACTTACGTGTATAAAGGAAGTTGCTGAGTTCGAGAACTTGGGCTAACACTGTTAAAATAAATTAAATACACAATTAATTAACTTGCAAGATAAATAAACCAAATGAAATAAATCAAAAGTCAAACAAATGAACTATTTTTTATGAAAATAAAATCTCTATGTCATGTTAGGAAAATTGAGAGGACACAACTTTACATTACCAAACACATATATTTATTTTAGGATAAATAGTGATCATGGGCCTTCCAATCCAATTTGATACCTTGGTGGCAACAGAAGGGTCTTTGGCCCTTTTTCTCCTCCTGCAGAGATCCCAATCCAAATCAAGGACTGTGCAGTTACTGTATGCATTTGAGGAAAGGTCTTAATGGTTCATGATCTAACCTAGCACAGTTGAAATCTCATTTCTCATAAGAGGACAAGTTGCACCCTTTGCTGAAGGTGGAAGAATACAGCAAGGACTGATGAGAAGACAGCTCATTAATTATTCTCTTGGAAGTTAACTACACTACGTCTATGTGTTGAGATGCTTCCATTTATCAGAGAACACGATATTTCCCCCAACAGAACAGAGGGGAAATTGATCTTACAGAACAAGGAGGAAGAACTTGTCAAGGAAAATGAAGAAGTCCGAAGAGTCATATACAGAAGGGATTCAGAACTGTTACAATTAAGCATCAGTGAAGATTTTCAAGCAAGAAACTAGCAGCAAGAAATACTACATGCCAGAGAAGGAGTCAATATAACTGCAAACTGCAACAAGAAGTTACAATAAGAAGTGCTAGTTGCTAGGGGGCTGATTGCTTTGGGATGTAGAAGCACCTATGTGCCAGTTTGAGAAGATGACTTGAGAAGTGTATCCAGGATGTCATCAACAACTTGCCCAAAATCAATTATGTACTCAGATCTGTACCTCTTTCTACCTATTCACGCAGATACCAACAACACTAACAACACTGAGCAGATTATATTTTAGTCTAGAATGCCCTTGGCAGGAAGGCAAAGGGTTTGAAGTGCAGGTGGCATTCTTGTCTATTCTTCCAATGAGGCTAGAGAACTAAAATCCTAGAGTTGGAAGAGATTACAAGGGCCATCCAGTCCAAACTACATAGGAACACAAAGTGCAGGCAGAACGCTTGCCAATTCTGCTTATGAAGGATGAAGAGTTACACAGGGACTAAAAGTAAATGATTGATTATGTAATGGGTTCTTAAATAGAAATACTACTGGCTATCGATCGGCTAGAAGGAGGAGGAGGAGGAGCAGGAGGAGGAGGAGAAGAAGAACTTTACTTTTTTACCAGCCATACTTGTGACGAAGGCGGGATCGAGAGCAGGGCCTCCCCAGATCCTTAAAATCCTGGAGGGTTCATAAGGAGAGATGCGTTCAGACAGGTAAGTTGGGCCAGAACCATTTAGGGCTTTATAGGCTAAAGCCAGTACTTTGAATTGTGCCTGGTATCAGACTGGCAGCAAGTGGAGCTGGCACAACAGAGGAGTTGTATGCTCCATGAGCGCCACTCCTGTTAGCAGTCTGGCTGCTGTCCATTTGACCATTTGAAGCTTCCAGACAGTCTTCAAAGGCAACCCCATGTAGAGAGCATTGCAGTAGTCTATACGGAATGTAACCAGAGCATGGACTGCCATGGCCAAGTCAGACTTCCCAAGGTACAGGCGCAGCTGGTGCAAAAGCTTTAATTGTGCAAATGCTCCCCTGGTCACTGCCGAAACTTGGGGTTCTAAGCTCAGCGATGAGTCCAGGATCACACCCAGACTGTGAACCTGTGTCTTCAGGAGGAGTGTAACCCCATCCAACACAGGCTGTAACCCTATGCCCTATTCGGCCTTACGACTGACCAGGAGTACCTCTGTCTTGTTTGGATTCAATGTCAATTTGTTAGCCCTTGTAGCAAATTTGTTGATCTATGTTAATTTTTTGATGTATAGCTCGATGTTGCAATGTGGCAGAATTGGCACAAATAGGGTAGCAACAGTAGAGGCAAGATTAATTTGCATACGTGCAGCCGATTGGTCGTATGCAGATGAGTGTAGGCCAGGATTTGAAAAGGCCACTGAGCCAGAATGGCAGTTGGGGGAAGAGAGCTGAACATTCCAAAGGGGCGGAGTTAAGTTTAAAAATAGGCAGTTAGAGAGTCAGAAAAGATTGAGTTAGGGATTCCTGTTTGTGAGGTACAGTTAGGAACTTCTGTGAGAGAAAAGCTGTTAGGAAAATGCAGCTCAAGTTTTAAGGAAAACAAAGAAGTGCCAGTGTTGTTTAAGGCAGAATATAGTTCTGTCAAGAGTGTATGAAAAAGTAACATTTGAATGTAAGACTCAAGACTGTAACAGAACACACAAATGTAACCATAAGCGTTGGAGCCAGAAGTTATAAATAAACTTTGTTACTTTGTTTTTAAATTTTTCTCTCTGACTTCCACTCTTTTCTAGGCACTAGATCAATCTTATTACACAGATCCCGCCGTTTCTTTAGGCACTAGATTAGTCGTATTACACAGATCCCGCAGCTTCTTTAGACACTACATTAGTTATATTACACAGATCCCACAGCTACCACCATTTTAATATGGGACAATGTTTCACTACTTCAGTCCTTTCACAGGTGCCTTTTTATGTGCCATAATGTGTGTGTGTAGGGGGGGGGGTATATTTTCTTTTTAAATCTTTTTACTGCCTTGTACTGAAACAGTTTCCCTTTAAAATTGGCTGGGGCTTTCTTGTGAGCATTTACCTTGAGGCTTTATATCACAGGCTTGAGACACTCTTGTAATAAACAAAGTAACAAAGTTTATTTATAACTTCTGGCTCCAACACTTATGGTTACACTTATGGTTACATCAACAAATTCGCTACAGCCCTCATCCAGATCTTTACAGCAGCCAAACACTGATTCCCACTATCTACCCAGTGATGGTGATCAAATCTCAGTATCTATGTTTCATTTTCCATCCGATATCACAGATAGATCTAAATGGGAACAAAGAGATACCACAGTTTAAGATATATTCAGCATATACTTTATCTCATGGTGTGGTGGAATACGCTTCTTTGAAGGTTTTTAAACATAGACTTGATGACCATCTATTGGAGGTGCTCTGAGTTGTGTATTCATGTATAGCAGGAGGTTGGTCTCTTCCAGTTCTACAATTCTATGATTTATCATGTGAATCATGAAAAGAAAATAAATATTTTGAAATCATAAAATTATAAAAATCAATGCAACTTACAAATCAATTGGTCGGTGTGGTACTATGAAGGGTCTTTTTTGAAATCTGCCCCAGAGGTCTCCAACAACCTAAAACAACAATTAGATTGATAGAGAGAGAATCATCAATTTTATATATGGGATTAATAATAACACTGATAAAATATGAATAATGGGTGACGATAGTGAATATGACCCTGCTTGGTCCAGAAATGATTTCTGAAATAATGGTAATAATTACTTCCATAGTTCTTTCCAATATAAAACCTTTTTTTCATATTGTTTTACTTTTTATAGAAGCCCCAGGCAGGTTCAAAAACAGGAAATTCATCAAGATTCTACACACAATTATGTTAGTGGAATGTGTTTGGGTCAAAATATGTGTAATCCATGAGAAAATTGAAGCATTACAATATTCATTTTTAATAAAAAATCAAACATACAAACAAAGAAAAAACATAACAACACAAAATGAAATTAAACCTAACACAAAGACATTTTTCATTATATGCAAACGAAACTAACATACCTTTAACTATAACCTACAACAGGGGTCCACAAACTTTTTAAACAGAAGGCCAGGTCACAGTCCCTCAAACTGTTGGAGGGCCGGATTATAATTTGAAAAAGCATGAATGAATTCCTATGCACACTGCACATATCTTATTTGTAGTGCAAAAAACACTTAAAAACAATACAATAATTAAAATGAAGAACAATTTTAACAAATATAAATTTACTAGTATTTCAATGGGAAGTGTGGGCCTGCTTTTGGCTGATGGGATAGGATTGTTGTTGTTGTGTGTGCTTTCAAGTAATTTCAGACTTAGGTTGACCCTGAGCAAGGGCCAGGTAAATTTTATTTATTTATTTATTTATTTCGAACATTTCTACCCCACCCTTCTCAACCCCTGGGGGGAGTCAGGGCGGCTTACAATTGGCAATAATTCAATGCCACATCATAAAATACAGAATACAGAATAACAAATATAACAATTAACATGAACATTAATAAATAAAGATTAAAACAGTATACTTGCACTCTAATTAGCTATTGCCCGTCTGGTGGCTGGTTAGCTAGCTATCTACTAATTAATACTCCGCTTAACTTATCCAAATCCTCTTCCATGCCATAATCAAACATTATCACGTGTCCTTTAACCTGATTGCCCGAAGGCCTGGTCCCACAGCCACATTTTAACCTTTTTTTCTAAAGGTGAGGAGGGATGACAATGACCTAATTTTCTTGGAGAGCAAATTCCACAGGCAGGGGGCCACCACGAAGAAGGCCCTGTCACTTGTCCCCGCCAAGCGTGTTTGAGACAAAGGCGGGGCCGAGAGCAGGGCCTCCCCAGACGATCTTAAGCTCCAAGGTGGGACGTAGAAGGAGATACATTCGGACAGGTACGCTGGACCGGAGCCGTATAGGGTTTTATAGGTCAAGACCAGCACTTTGAATTGTGCTCGGGGGGGGGGGGGTATGCTCCCTGTATGACACTCCAGTGAGTAATCTAGCTGCCGCCTATTGGACTAATTGCAATTTCCGAACAGTCTTCAAAGGCAACCCCACGTAGAGCGCGTTGCAGTAATCTATTCGGGATGTGATAAGAGCGTGGACCACCGTAGCCAGATCCGACTTCCCAAGGTACGGGGGACAATAGCAAAGATGGGGACAATTTTCAACCATTGTTTTTCTGATATAGAAGAGTGTTATTAAAAATAGAAAGGTAGAAATAAAGTGATGCTTGAAGGGACCAACAAATAAGAAGTCAAAATCAACAGGTAATGAGTGAGAAGCTTATAAATTAATTTAGTTGGTGTTTGTTTAGAATATGTATGTATCATGTGTGTGTGTGTGTGTGTGTGTGTGTGTGTGTGTGTGTATATATATATATATATATATAGAGAGAGAGAGAGAGAGAGAGAGAGAGAGGTTGTAGGTCAGGGGTCCTCAAACTAAGGCCCAGGGGCCAGATACAGCCCTCCAAGGTCAAATCTACATGTTACCAAGGAGGCTGTCGGAACCTTGAACCGGTGCTTGGCTGCTGTGTCGGACTGGATGAGAGCAAACAAATTGAAATTGAATCCAGACAAGACAGAGGTCCTACCGGTCAGTCGTAAGGCCGAACAGGGTATAGGGTTACAGCCTGTGTTGGATGGGGTTACACTCCCCCTGAAGACGCAGGTTCGCAGCTTGAGAGTGATCCTGGATTCATCGCTGAGCCTGGAACCCCAAATTTCGGCGGTGGCCAGGGGAGCTTTTGCACAGTTAAAACCCGTGCACCAGCTGCGCCCGTATCTTGGGAAATCTGATCTGGCCACGGTCGTCCACGCTCTGGTTACATCCTGAATAGATTACTGCAACGTGCTCTACGTGGGGCTGCCTTTGAAGACGGTTCAGAAACTTCAGCTAGCCCAACGGGCGGTAGCCAGATTACTAACTGGGGTGACATACAGGGAGTATACCACCCCCTGTTGTGCCAGCTCCACTGGCTGCCAGTCCATCTCCGAGCCCAATTCAAAGTGCTGGTTTTGACCTATAAAGCTCTATATGGTTCTGGCCCAGCTTACTTGTCCAAACGCATCCACCCCTACGTCCCATCTTGTAATCTAAGTTCATCCGGGGAGGCCCTGCTCTCGCTCCCGTCAATTGCGTAAATGCGTCTGGCAGGGACGAGAGACAGGGTCTTCTCGGCTGTGGCCCCTCATCTATGGAACACACTCCCAAATGAGGTAAGATCTGCTCCCTCCCTCCTGGTTTTTAGAAAGAAATTAAAATCATGGCTTTGGGATCAGGCCTTCGAACAGTAGATGTTTGTAGAGTTTAAAGGACATGGACTAGAATGACAATACGACTGGTGAGACTGTTTTATTATTTATTGTTTTAATGATTGCTTATGTACTGTATAATTATGATTTATGTTTAATTGTGGTTTTATTATTGTGGTTGTTATGGTTTGTCATTGCGTCAGTGTCCAATGTATGGCACTGAAGTTTTGTCAGTTATGTGTAAACCGCTTTGAGTCCCCCCTACGGGTGAGAAAAGCGGTATAGAAATACTGTAAATAAATAAATACATAAATGGTTGGTGAAGGGACAGCTCCCCTGGTGGCCAGAATACCCTCAAGAAAAGCTGGAATGTTAAATTGCCTCTCTGTCTATCTATATGTGTTGTGTGTCTATGGCATTGAATGTTTGTCATGTATATGTACATTGTAATCCATCCTGAGTCCCCTGTGGGGTGAGAAGGGTGGAATATAAATACTGTAAATAAATAAAATAAAACAATTGTATTAAAGTCGGCTTACTTGGCTTATTTCTTCAGTTGGTTCATACCGTTTCAGTGCAGCATTCTGGGAGACACCATCATCCCTTAATTCTTGTACTGAACCTGGAGGCTTGATTTTTGGCAGTAATATTAAGTCCCAGGGAATGTCCTCATATCCTCTTTGAAGTAGGAATAAGAAATTGAAAAGCAATTACTGCAGCTGATTATTATAGCCAATTGCAGTTAAATAATTTACACAGCTTTCTTCCAGAGATTTACAGAAGAGAACTTGTAATGCCAGCTCATATGTGTTTGACTACTCATACAAGAGGGGGAAAAGGGAAAGGTTTTTGTATCTTTATTTTCAAGAAAAGTAAAAAAATGTGTATTGACCAACAAATATGTGTAATACATGTCACCATTTATGCAAATAAATAAACAAGAGTTATTTTCATGTGTTTGCAAAGGAAGAGAAATATCAAATATTTGTGACAGTGAACATCGGCAGGAATAGAAGCAGGACATGGAAGCTGGCTTTATTTATCAGAAATAGAAGCTAACCTTTGAGTTGTTGAGGTATACATATACTTCCGAGCTTTCTCATCTCTGCAGGTTTCAGAAGAAGGATCTTTTAACTTAATTAAATACAATACAATATTAACAGCATGCAAAAGATAATGCAGAAGATTGTTTTCTAAACTATAGTTTCTCAAGCACACTCAGGCAGACTCCAAAGGGGGGCCTAGACAGAAAATGATAGTCCATTTTATTGGGGGGGGGGGGGGGGKTAAAGAAGGAAACCATTTTCCTCATTTTAACTGATTATTCCTTCCCCCCTCCCCGCCATATCATAAATTAAGGTTGTTTTGACGATGGTAACATGGGTGTGTGGGGGGAATAACAAGAAAACAGGGGGAAATTGTTTAACTCCTTCAACCCCCTTCCCCCATAACATTGTGTCCCGCTTTATCTCACAATTCAGTAGCAGATTGGTTGCACAACTTCAGCGCTTTCCAGTAGCTTCTTCCTGCACAGTATTTTCAGTCAACTGCTCCCACAAACTGCAGTCACTCTGAAACTCTTTACAGGCACTTGAGCACATGCCCGGCCATTGTCAGTTTTACTATTGTTTTCCCCTCCAATCTAGATGACACTACAAACTTACCACAGCACACGGTTATATCTTGTCTTAGCAGACAGGTTCCTTTAATAAATTACACAGAGCCTTTGGCAAACAGCATCACAGCACAAGGAGAAGAATATACACTGTACATGACTTCCTTATATACAATTATGTATATTTACATATAGCAATCACTGATTGGTTCCCAACTCATTAACTTAACTCAAACCCAGGATTGCATCATTCACAATCACCTGGACCAGGCCAGAACACATTCCCCAAATGATTCCCTATATACAGTTAATGCATGACTCAGCATTTCCATTAGAAGCCTATTAGCAGTGCATGACTCAGCTATATTACATTACAATACATTGTAAAACCTGACACATTGACTATCCTGCTCTGTCTAGCACTCTCTTGTGACCTCCACCCGGATAATAGAACAGTACTCACATTTAACAGGTAAACTTTCCCACGATGTTCAGATTATTGAGTGGGTTGGGAACATTAGATAAATCTTCTTGTTTTCTGGATTCTGGTAACTCTAAACTAGGGCTTGCATCACAAGATTTAGTCAGAGGTTTGACATGGCTTTCCTCTATAGCTGAGAAAAAGTGCTTTCTCAAAAAGAACACATTAAGGGGGGGCTATTGTAATTAATCTTAGCAATTAAAGGGGAGGGGAAGTAACTGGAATGCAGACCTCACATGATGACAAAGAGATAGGGAGTGGAAAATCTACTTCCATTTACAAGGTCTCTAATTCCATTTAAATGGAACTTACATGAACACAAAATAAAAACACTTACAAAAGAAAATGGATAGAAAATTAAAGGTATTATCTGTAAATACGAATGGCTTATCCTCAAATTTAAAGAGATATAGATTAATGAACCTAGCTATGAAAGAAGGGTCAGAAATTCTGTGTTTGCAAGAAAAGATAACAACCAAATCTTGAACTCCTGGCAATTAATAATGAAGGCAGAAGCCAGGGGAACAAACAAAGCAAGGGGGAAAGCAGTAATAATGAACCAAAGCCTGAATGTAGAAATCCTAGATCAAATCAGGGACAGAGAGAGGAAATATGTTATTCTGAAGTTCAAACTGGGAATTAAGAAATACACAATAGCAAATATATACTGCCCAAATAAGGGACAGATCATTTTTCTTTTTAAAATGTTCAAGAAACTACAAGGGGATACTATGTTGACAAGATATTTTTTTAAGAATTTTATTAGATTTTATAAAGAATACAACGAAAGAGTGAAAACAATAAAAGTATAGAAAAGTGAGGGGAAAAAGAAGAGATAAAGATAAAACACATTCTACAAAAATACTCACACAAAAAGCAAAAGATATTTTAATATAGATCTCAACCAAATTAAAACAATTAATTTAAGAAAATTAATTGTTTATTTAGGGTTTAATTAATTAATTGGGTTTTAAGGGAAAAATACAAGCTAGCCAGCAATAAACCCAAACTGACATACAACTCTAATAGACAGTAAAAATATACATATATTGACCACATTCTGATTAACGAATCTAATGAAATGATGGTAAAAAGATGTAGACATATGGAATATGGATCTCAGATCATTCGACAATAACCATTGATTTAGAAATAATGGACGAACAAAGTTATAGGAGATTGAAATGCAATAACTTGATCATGGTCAGAAAGGAAGATAAGGAATATACAATGAAACAAATTAAATGTTATTTAATGAAAATAAGGAGTCAGAAGCGGTAAACACATTATGGGATGCTGCTAAAGCTGTTATAAGAGGATACTGAATACTAAAAAAAATCTTTATATGGGAATTGAATGCAGAAAGGCAAGGAAAATTGAGGAACTGAGAGGGTTGCAAAATAAACAACAGGCCAAATATAATGCACAAAGCCAAGATGGAGGGATGGCACACAGCTCATCTATTTTTCTGTGCGTTAGGAGAGGGTTCTATCTTTCCCATCTTGTGTGTAACATGTAGTTTTAAAAAATGGCCAAGAACATTATATCTCTTATTACTGGAACTAGTAAGACCATGAAGGGAGACAAGGAAATCTGTTACCTTCCAAAGGCAGGTGGACTGTAGCAAACACAGCTTAGAATTAATTACTTAAGACTAACCAGTTACAAATAACTGAACACATGAACACAAGTACCAAGTTTCCTTTCTATAATCTTACTATATTCCCCTAAGGGGCAGGTGGAGCTTCCTTGGGAATCGGATGATCAACTAATTTTGGTGTTCTGTTGCACGCTGGGCCTGTAACAGCTGTCTTTTCTATATGATGTATACTTTAAGCCCAGCGGGAAGCCAGGGCGCTTCAAAGAGAGGTTCTCAGGGATTTTTCTGAAGTAATGGTCTTTAGAGTCTTTTATGATACAACAAAATCTTTATTATGGAACAAACAACAAATCTTCAATGGTTCAAACAACACTTCAAGGCTTTCTTAGTCTAGTCCTCAATGGACTGGTACCTGACTTTAATTAACTGTACTTTCTCTGTAGGAAAAAAACCCCCTATTTAACCTCTCTCAGGCTGTTTACTATCTATGCCTCATTGGTGTCGGTCCTACTACCGATTCCAAGTGCGTCTGGGTATCGAGTAGACCTACCAGCCGAGGCTTGTAGATATTTCAGATGGAGTTCTGTGGATCTGTAGTGCTGTCCTCCCTTAGAGAATTCTTTGAAAACCTCAGGGTTGTTTTCCCTCTGATTGCTGTGAGGCTGAGAGCCTGTGAGCTCTCAGCCAAAGCCTTGGGACCTTTTCCTTGGAATTTCTGTTTCTGTTTCCCCGGATGTTCTTGAGAAAAGAAGCTTTTCTACGGGATGAGCTGGTCTACATCCTATAGTTTAGGTCCTTACGTGAGACTGTCCAAAAATGGCTCCTTTTCCTCCCAGAGCCCTGAACAAGGGGTGGAACCAAAGCTTAATTATGATGGACAGGAGGCCTGCCCTATGACTGCAAACAGATAACAGAAAGAAAATAAAGTTGGAGCTCCTGGTACAGCCGTACCAGCACACTTGGCAGCAAGTAAAAATGCCATATGATGCTCAAGGGTTTGCTATGAGGTTTTAGGCTCTACTATAATATCAATATTTAAAATGCAAACATAACATAGGCAATTAGAATAATAAAATAATAAACTTTATTTGTACCCTGCCACCATCTCCCCCAACGGGGCGGCTCACATGAGGCCAAGCCCAAACAACAAATTACAATAAAATACGAGGGGTATTTTTCAAGTAAGGTCCGTTTTGTTGTAGACACTAGTAGTTCGCATGCATACCGCAACGAGCACGTGCGTCATGTACCGGCATGCCTCGGGAACAACTGAGCTCAGTTTCCGCTCTGTAGCTAACCTGTACAGTTCTGTTCTGTGCTTTAAAAATGTTTAAGACTATCAACTCACCCACCGCATGTAAGGTTCGCTCAGTGATACGGTTTTTGTCAGCAAGGAACCTGCCTGCTGCAGAAATTCATCGAGAGATTTGTGAAGTGTACGGTGATACTGTTATGAGTGAAAGCAAAGTGCGTAAGTGGGTACAACAATTCAAAGATGGCCGTGACAACGTCCATGATGAGGACCGCTCCGGTCGCCCTTCTTTGATTACCATTACAATGATGATGACGACATGAAAAGGCAGTAAACTCTTGGTTATCGGAACAGGCGGCAAGTTTTTATGAAGAGGGTATTTTAAAATTGGTTCAGAGTTATGATAAGTGTTTGAACAAACTTGGCAACTATGTCGAAAAATGGAGTGAAGTATGTACTTTCTGAAAATAAAGTACATACTTCACTTTTTTGAAATAAACTTTTGTTGTGTACTTATGTTCCAACGGACCATACTTATAAAATATCCCTTGTGCAATACAAATTACAGTAAAATAAACAACATCACAATTAAGCATATAAATACAATAAGCAATATACTCAAAGCAGAAGAAGAAGAAGAAGAAGAAGAAGAAGAAGAAGAAGAAGAAGAAGAAGAAGAAGAAGAAGAAGAAGAAGAAGAAGAAGAAGAAGAAGAAGAAAGTAATAAACAACATAATGTCAGTGAGCGGGCCACATGTACAATAAAATGGTTTAAAAACTCAGGGTGAGATAAAAGGAGCAGATTATTTGCATGGGGATACTCATAGAGAAACAGTGTAATAAACATACCTTCGTACAAGGCAGCGGGAGGGGGTACTCCTAGGTCAAAATGTTGAGGGGGGCAATAGCTAAAGCTTGTGTGGCTGCTCTCCAAAAGCGCAGAGGCATAGCAAGGTCTTGAGATTCTTTTTAAAGGTTTCTAAGGTAGGGGCTTTCCTAATCTCACAGGGTAATGAGTTCCAGAGTCGGGGAGCCACAGAGGAGAAGGCTCTCTCCCTTGTACCTACAAGGCAAGCCTGAGAAACTGGCAAGGGCGAAGGAGGGCCTCCCCCGAAGATAGAAGAGCTTGGGCTGGTTCATGGAGAGAGATATGGTCACGAAGGTAGGCGGGTCCCAAACCGTTTTTGAGTACAAAAGATAAGAAATAGCTGCCTGCACTCATTTTTTTTTATTAACCAGTCCCACTTAGGGACCTTCCACAAAGTCATATAACCCAGAAGATCAAGGCACAATATCTGCTTTGAACTGGATGATCTTATTCCACACTGCCATATAATTCAACTCAATGTGGATTTTATATAGTTGTGTGAAAGGGACCATAGCTTCATTAAGTTGTATTTAATGAGGGTTCCAACAGCATTAGACTACCTTTTTACTGCCAGCAAAAAAGAAAGAATTGGAGACTGATCCTGGGAAGTAAATATGATTTACAGGCAGAAGAAGAAATGGATCTTCTTTTATAGAGTATCAGTTATGTCGTATTTTATTATTTTATGATTATCCTGATTTTTTAGAAAGCAACAAACATAGCAACTATTATACAGTTTTCCAAAGTTGAGGGACATAAACACTTAAAAATGTATGCAGGAATTCAGTATTCTAAATCCAATAATGACCTCTGATTTGCTCTACTGCGTACAGCTTTTTCACAACTTCCTTTGACTTTTAATGTTGTAATATTTCACTGAATAAAGTAGGAATTGAAATTACATTTATGAAAGAACATATGTGAGGTATGACATTTGATTGCATTTTTAAAATTCAGCATCCAAAAATACATTCAAATATTTATAATATTGAAAAATATTTTAAATACTTCTGGGTTACTTTTTTCAGAATTAACTTTAGATATTATTTCGCTAACTCTTGACTTGCATTTATAACATCGTTTAATTATTTTAAAGTCAATTATTGTTCTGAAAACCAGACATTTACAATAACACCACGTTCTAAATACATTCAAGGTTTATATAAACAGCAGAATCAATATCAGTAAACAAAATTACCTTAACATCCGGGTCTACACAAAAGGCAAATCTGTGACTTGAGAAACTGTCTTTTGTTTTAGGCTGAACAGGTATAGCTTTTCTTGGACTTGTACTTCCTGAAAGAAAGTGTTGAACTTTTTGTGATGTATATATTGCAGCACTCAGATTTTAAGTAAATTTACAGCTCTATATGTTATGTACAAGTGAAAGAATTGTATATGATAATAAGTAAACCTTTGAAAGCAGTAGGGATTCCTCCTAACTTACACAAAGTGCTTTTAGTAATATTACTAGTCATTCATCAGATTTGTCGTTTTGTGAATCTACATGAAGTATTCTGTTCTAAAATCTGTTTGAAGCTTGAAATTTCCTAATCATATAAAAATAATATCTGGTATCAATGTATTGTCGAAGGCTTTCATGGCTGGAATCACTGGGTTGCTGTAGATTTTTTTCGGGCTATATGGCCATGCTCTAGAGGCATTCTCTCCTGACGTTTCGCCTGCATCTATGGCAAGCATCCTCAAAGGTTGTGAGGTCTGTTGGAACTAGGAAAAAGGGTTTATATATCTGTGGAATGACCAGGATGGGACAAAGAACTCTAGTCTGTTGGAGCCAGGTGTGAATGTTTCAACTGAGCACCTTGATTAGGATTTGATGGCCTGGCAGTAAAAACTGTGAATTCTATGAACAGAAAGATGGAGTAGCCATGGGGAGCCCTCTCAGTCAAGTCATAGCAAATTTCTACATGGAACATTTTGAAAAACAAGCCCTGGAAACAATAACAAAAAAGTCCATGATATGGTTCAGATATGTGGATGACACTTTCACCATTTGGAGCCATGGAGAAGAAGAACTAAACAGGTTCCTGGACCATCTTAACAGCATCCACCCTAACATCCAATTCACCATGGAAAAAGAAAATGAAGGAAAACTGCCTATTTCTAGATGTCCTAATCATCTACAAACCAGATCAACAATTGGGTCACACAGTTTACAGAAAACCCACACACAGAGATAGATATCTACATAAAAACTCCAACCATCACCCAAGTCAAAAAAAGAAGCACCATTAAAGCCTTGGCAGACTGTGCAAAAAGAATCTGCGAACCCCACCTCCTCCAAGATGAACTGAACCACCTCAACTGGGCTCTACAGGCCAATGGATATTCCACCTCAGACATCAGAAGAGCTGCAAGACCGAGAACAAGCCACGAATTCAAGGGAAAGGGACTTCAGAATCTTTCTCAAAGCAAATGAATACGTTCTCCTGTTGTTTTCTCTGAACTCACTCCAATTTGTCTATATTATTCTTAAAATAAGGTACACAGAAATGTGTGCGGGGTGGGGAGTGGGGGGGGGTATAGTTCAGTTTACTGGGATTCATTTGGGGGAGTTTTCCTTTTACTAAGGATTTATTTAGAGAGTGACTTGCCCAAGGTGCTGAAATTGAAAAAAAAATCCTAAAAATCAGTAGATGTGCGAATCTTTCTGAAATTTTGGAGGAATTGTGCCCTCATTATGTCATGTAATTGTAGATAAATTCAAGGGAATAGCCTTTGTAGGGTTTTTTTTTAAGTTATTCATAAAATTTCCCAAAAAGCAGTGGATGAGTGAAACGGTCTGAAACTTGGGGAGCTACATGTGTCTTACAAGTATAGCAAGCTTCATCCTGATAGCCATAAAAATGATGGAGAAACAAGCCCTGGAAGTGTTCCCATTAGCACAAATGGGCAAATTAATTAAACAAAATATTAACAAAGTTTGGTGTTTTTAATTTGAAACTAAATGGACCCCTCAAGGTAATTTAGAAACACTTCTGAAACAAAATAGGGGGCTTACTAAATTAATATTTTGAAACAAAACAGAGTTTTGGCATTTTGCACACCTCCACTAATTATATAGTGTAGATATATCCATTGAGTCATCTTTTTTCTAAGGTTCTTTGTGGTTTTCATGATTGGGGAAGAGCCAGTCAGCATGTGGTGTGTATGTGCGTGGCTCCTTCTAGTACCCAGGATTGAAATGTACCACTCTTTGGTTTGCCATATTTAGGCATGGTTTATAAGGCATTCTGGGTTTACCTGTCTTCCCTCCTGCTTGTCTTGGTTGGGGATTTAGAATTGATTATTGATGCATGCTCATAGAATTGTAATTACTTTGGAATGTGTTGCACTCCAGAGCTGGAAACAGGGCCCTCTTGTCATTAATACAACACACCTTGGTTTAGGAAAAATACAATCCTTTTTATTGAATGATGACTATAAGATAGATTGAAGTCCAAAGGTAAAAAAGCCAAAATGAAACAGCAAACAGCAATGTCCAGAAAGCTTGCAGAAAATCCAAAGCAGTAAAGTCCAAACAACTCTCAGTAGAAATCCATGAACAGGTTAGCCCCAGCTAATTCTCACTTGAAGCCAGAAATTCCCTTAGAGACCAGATCACTATAAACTGGAAAATCCAGGAGGCTTGTACTTGATACTAAATGATGCTTGGTCTGAGGAAATCCCCCTCACAGGCACTCTTGAATCCCAAAAACTGATTCTGGCTAACTCTAATCTTTGGTTTCAGTTGTTGGATTCTCTCAGACCTACATAAACACTGAGCCTCCCTGCGGTTCTGGCTTATCTCCAAGCTGCAACTGTTATCATTGACCCGACCAGGTGTCAAGTTATCTTGCAAGATCGGGCCAGGAGGAAAAGGGAGTGAATTTTCTTCTCTCGGTCTGACAGAAACTTTCTCATGAGAACTTGGCTTTTCCCTTGAAGCCTCTAAATCAAAGCCTGTAGGATTTTTACTGCCCAAAGTGTCTCCATCTTGAGCCTCATCCTCATTGATCAATTCAGCCTCACTATCCAAACTTGGCCCAACAACATTAACATCAACATTGGCATCAACATTGGCATCAGCATTAGGCAATACAATCAGAGATTCAGGCTCAGGTTCACACACAGGCTGAGTCCCAACAGCATGTACCATTGTTAGGACTTTGGGCAATATGGCATTGGTGCAAGATTTTCCACGATGACATCCACTTGGGGGCAAGACCTGCTTTCACTCCCTGGTGGCAGAAAACTACACAATCTCAATTATTTGTTGTCATCTCTGTTGCTGCCTCCTGCTTTGGCTCAGGAGGCAAGTGCATCAAACACTTGACTGCTGTTTTTGGACTCAATGGATGTTTATGTCATGTCAAGCCAACTTACAGAGCTCTAAGTATATTAAAATTTGGGTTGGTTTTCTTTCAACTGTTCAGGGCCAATCTCAATAAGAGCTACATTGACCTTGCCACCACTAGACCTGCAATCCAGCGTACATGCCAGAAATATGGTTGAACAGAAACATCTTTGCTCACTCGTAACGGAATTGCAGTTAGACAATATTTTGCAAAAGATGTAGTTTATCCTTTTAAAACAAATCTTATTTAAGTATGGCACTTGTATTGAAATTTCATTTTTAGTTATTCCACTGGAAAATATAGCAGTAACAACCATAATGCAATTTACCTCCAATTTTGGCCCTTAAAGAAATATCTGGGACTGCTCTGCTGTTCCATCGTTGATTCTGACTTATGTTTTCTAATAGAAATGATGTTCTTCTCTTAGTAATCCGGTCTCTCTGGTGGGGGATACATGTCTCCTGAGGTGGTTGCACATCTTTGCCACTACTCTGTAGTTCAATGTATTTTCTAGATGGGATTTGCTGATCTGCTTCAGCTTCAGCTGCTGGGCTTAAAAGTCCTGAGAAAGAGCTAATTACTGGCTCATCTTCCCGGTGTGGAGCTAAGATGTAGCTTTCATCTTCAGGTGGTATAAAAGGATTGGATTTAAGAAAAGAACTGCTGCACTTCTCAATAAAACTGGGAAACAAATGTCTGTCTTCAGGCCCCCTCACAAAAGGCATATACATTTTCTGTAGCAGACGTTCATACTGATGTTGAGGCATTTTGTGAAGTGAATCAGAGTGAAGATTTGAGTGGTTAAAAGGACTGAAGTGCCTTGTAGTGACATGAGAAGCCATCGCTATAGTTGTTTCCAATTAGAAGTAAAGCCTTTAGTTATTTTCTGATAGTATCCAGCAGCTCTCGTTAAAACAGATTTTTCAGTGAAAAGCACCAGAACACAACTTCATGAACATTTAAAAACAATAACTGCAAGAAAATAGCAAACCACGAGTATAATGAAGTTGCTAAAAGAGCAAAGAGTTTCTTTGTTGCTTAGTGACAACAGAACATGAGCACACAATGAAACTTTTCGTACTTCATAGTGACCTGGATCTAGGAGATCTGTTTGATCTGTGAATGAAATAATCCTTTCATCTACTTGTCACATAAATCAAGTATTTTTCAATCTTTTCTAGTGCAGTATTTAATTTAACCTACATTTAAAATGATAGTTTAAAATAAATAATCTTTATATACCATTGTTTTGCCTTTCCAATTTTTGCTTCAGTGTGTCGTAGAGGCTCCTTCTTTGGAGGCTTTTAAGCAGAGGCTAGCTGACCATCTATTAAGGTAAAGGTAGTCCCCTGACATTAAGTCCAGTCATGTCTGACTCTGGGGTGTGGTGCTCATCTCCATTTCTAAGCCGAAGAGCCAGCGTTGTCCGTAGACACCTCCAAGGTCATGTGGCCGGCATGACTGCATGGAGCACCGTTACCTTCCCACCGGAGCGGTACCTATTGATCTACTCCCATTTGCATGTTTTCAAGCTGCTAGGTTGGCAGAAGCTAGGGCTGATAGCGGAAGCTCACGCCGCTCCCCGGAATCGAACCTGCGACCTTTCGATCAACAAGCTCAGCAGCTCAGTGCTTTAACCCACTGCGCCACCGGGGGCCCTCGACCATCTATTAGGGGTGCTTTAATTGTGCTTTGCCTGTATGGTGGAGGGTTGGACTGGATGACCCATGTGGTCTCTTCCAATTTAAGGATTCTGTTATTCCAATTCTAGGATTCCTCAACTGCAGCAAGAAGAAACAAAAGGTGCTGGTGTTAGGATTTCACTTCTCAGGGTTGTAAAGAGGAATGTCAGCTGGATAAGAACAAATAAAAAGTATGTGGTCTTCCTTGTGTCCATATCCAGGATTTTACTGACACATTGCTGAAGCTCACCAGGAACGCAGAGCAGTACTTCTTTCTTCTGATTAATATGGGCACCAACGACAGAATTTTCCAATTTCCTTGTCTCCTGTGCTAAACTAATAATATCATATATTGTATATACATATATTTATAATATTATAATGTAATACAATATAATACTACTAATAATTATGATATTATAATTATATATTTTATATTACACATAATATTACTAATAATATTACAATATAATGGTATAGTACAATCTATATAAATAAAAATGTAATGTTAGTTCGTGCTACCATCAGAACTCAAAAACCACTGGGGGAATTGACACCAAATTTGGACACAAGACACCTAACAGTTCAATTTATGTCCTCCACTCAAAAAATATTGATTTTGTCATTTCGGAATTGTCGTTGCTGGGATTTATAGTTTACCTACAATCAAAGAGCATTCTGAACTCCACCAATGATGGAATTGGGCCAAACTTAGCACACAGGGCTTCCATGACCAATAGAAAAAACTGGAAAGGTTTGGTGGACATTGACCTTGAGTTTGGGAATTATAGTTCACCCACATCCAGAGAGCACTGTGGACTCAAACAATGATGGATCTGGAGCAAACTTGACACAAAAATTCCATATGCCGAAATATGAACACAGATGGAGTTTGGAGGAAATAGACCTTGACATTTGGGATTTGTAGTTACTGGGATTTATAGTTCACTACAATTAAAGAGCATTCTGAAACCCACAAACGACAGAAATGGGGCAAACTTCCCACACAGAACCCCCATGACCAACAGAAAATACTTAAGGCCATTGAGTCCAACTCACTTCACCAGGGCAAGAAAATGTAATCAGAGCCCTCCTGACAAAGAGCCATCCAGTCATAAATATATCTATTTATATGATTCTCAGACACAGAGAGAGATATAGTATCACAGATTTGAAAGAGACCTTTAAAGAAGGACTATGATATGTTGCATATTCCAGAGTAGGCAAACCAGACACTCTCCACATCAACACTGACAAAGAAACAACAAGAAATACTGTTTACTCATAAGCATAAAGGAATTACATATATTAGAAACCAACACTTTCTCATTACTTTATTTTCCAGATCACCAGACTGGGCCACAGCAACGCGTAGCAGGGGACAGCTAGTATAGTATATAATACTGATATTGTACTATGCTAATAATATAATATATTGTATGTATTTATATCTTGTAATCTGCTCTGAGTCCCCTTCGGGGTGAGAAGGGCGACATATAACATATCTCTGGTTGTACTGGTCCATTTAGTTTTCTTGGCAAGAACACTGGGGTGGTTTGCCATTGCCTTCCCCAGGGATCGCGCTTGGTCTGACCTCTCTGCCACGACCGTCCAATCTTGGGTGGCCCTTCATGGTTTTGCTCATGACATCATTGAGATGCTCAAGCTCCAGCGCCACAACAAGGTGGCAATCCTTTGCTGGATGCATGCCATATGCCAGCAAATATGGAAAACACAAGAATGGCCATCAGACTGGAAAAAATCAACTTATATCCCCATACCAAAAAAGGGAAATGCTCAAGACGGCTCAAACTTTCATACAGTGGCACTTATTTCTCATGCCAGTAAGGTAATGCTCAAGATCCTGCAAGGAAGACTCCAGCAATACATGGAGAGCTGCCAGATGTACCGTACAAGCTGGGTTTAGAAAAGGCAGAGGAACGAGAGACCAAATTGCCAATATCCGCTGGATAATGGAGAAAGGCAGGGAGTTTCAGAAAAACATCTGTTTCTGTTTTATTGACTATTCTAAAGCATTTGACAGTGTGGATCATAACAAATTGTGGCAAGTTCTTGGTGGTATGGGGATACCAAATCGCCTTATCTCTCTCCTGAGGAATCTGTATAAGGACCAAGTAACAACAGTAAGAACTGACGATGGAACAACAGACTGGTTCAAGATTGGGAAAGGCGTACGGCAGGGTTGTATACTCTCACCCAACCTATTCAACTTGTATGCAGAACATATAATGTGATGAATGCAAGGCTGGAGTGAAAATTGAATGCAAGGCTGGGGTGAAAATTGCTGGAAGAAACATTAACAACCTTAGATATGCTGATGACACCACTATGATGGCCAAAAGCAAGGAGGAGCTGAGGAGCCTTCTAATCAAGGTGAAAGAAGAAAGCGCAAAAGCTGGGTTCCAGCTAAACATAAAAAAACCCCCAAAATTATGGCAACAAGAATGATTGACAACTGGGAAATAGAGGGAGAAAAGGTGGAGGCAGTGATAGACTTTGTATTTGTAGGTGCAAAGATTACTGCAGACGCAGGATGCAGCCAGGAAATCAGGAGGAGCAATGACCAATCTCGATAAAATAGTGAAGAGTAGAGACATCACACTGGCAATGAAGATCCGCATAGTTAAAGCAATGGTATTCCCCATAGTCACCTACAGATGTGAGAGCTGGACCATAGGGAAGGCTGAGTGAAGGAAGATAGATGCTTTTGAACTGTGGTGTTGGAGGAGGGTTCTGAGAGTGCCTTGGACTGCAAGAAGATCCAACCAGTCCATACTTTAGGAAATAAAGCCCGACTGCTCACTGGAGGGAAAGAAAGTAGAGACAAAGATGAAGTACTTTGGCCACATCATGAGAAGAAAGGAAAGCTTAGAGAAGGCAATTATGCTGGGGAAAATGGAAGGAAAAAGGAAGAGGGACTGACCAAGGGCAAGATGGATGGATGGCATCCTTTAAGTGATTGGATTGATCTTGAAGGAGCTGGAGGTGGTGACGGCCAACAGGGAGCTCTGGCATGGGCTGGTCTATGAGATCACAAAGAGTAAGAAACGACTGAACGAATGAACAACAACAAGCCAGGATGGGCAAAGGTGGGCCAAAGGCTCCTTCTAACTTCCTACATTAAAACTCCCCTGTTCTCCAGAGTCTGGTGTCGATTAGTGTGGTGTGTAAACATGTGTGCAATTGGTACAGCTTATCTCACACATAATCAAAGGTTTCTCCTTACATTTGCAGGACAAACAAACACATCGCAGTCGACACACTAAGATCATGACAGTATGGAAAATCGAAAATGTGATGAATAAATGCATTTAAAAGGTAGAAGATTATTAACACACTTCAAACTGAAAAAAGCTACATAATCGCTGACTTGATCAAAGGAACAAGCAGAGGCATCAAGCTTTCAGGCTTGATGAGGAATCCTTGTTCATAGCACTAAATAAAAGGTGGCAAGACAGCAAAATACAGCCATAATTTTCTTCTCTTTGATCATGTGGAAACTATACAAATAAAAATTAGTTAAATTGTTCTTCTATTACACTGATTGTGCCTATTTTTTCCCTTTCAGGCTTAAAGCCTGCTTTTATTTTTTCATTTAATATTTCTCTATCAATCATTTTGAACATCACATTTAATATTTAAATTGCGGGAAGCTATAGATGACAGCATACTTATTTTTTTTTTTTTGGTAACAATCCTATTCTACTTGAGAGTAAATTTTTAAAAATTGAAAGTCTTGTTTTATTATGCTTAGCTAGGTGTGAATGTTTCAACTGACCACCTTAATTAGCATTTAATGGCTTGGAAGTGCCTGGGGGGAATCTTTTGTTGAGAGTGATTTGATGTGCCTGATTGTTTACTCTCTGTTGTTTTGCTGTTGTAATTTTTGAGTGTTTTAATACTGGTAGCCAGATTTTGTTCATTTTCATGGTTTCCTCCTTTCTGTTGAAATTGTCCACATGCTTGTGTATTTCAATGGCTTCTCTGTGTAGTCTGACATGGTGGTTGTGAGAGTGATCCAGCATTTCTGTGTTGTCAAATAAAATGCTGTGTCCAGGTTGGTTCATCAGGTGCTCTGCTATGGCTGAAGTAGTCTGCAGTGCCTTTCATGTTCCTTGATTCGTGTTTGGGGAATGCTGCATTTGGTGGTCCCTATGTAGACTTGTCCACAGGTGTGAAACATTCACACCTAGCTGCAGCAGACAAGAGTCCTTTGTCTCACCCTGGTCATTCCACAGATATATAAACCCATTTTCCTACTTCCAACAGACCTCACTACCTTTGAGGATGCTTGCCATAGATGGAGGCAAAACATCAGGAGAAAATGCCTCCAGAACATGGCCATATAGCCCAGAAAACCTACAACAACCCAGACATTTAATCAACTACCAAGTTTGCAAACTTTGTGGTTTTTTAAAATCTGTTTGTTTTGTCCAGTTAGAAATGTAATACAATGGTCTGGTTGCCCCTGACACGATAAATAAATAAATACCCTGTATTGTTTTTTAAATTCTGTACCCATTACTTGGCCCAGCCCTAGTTTTTACTGTGTTACGGTGTAATGTTTTGTTGTTATTGCTTGATGTTTTTTGATTTTGCTTTGAGTTGTTTGTTATGTTATTGTTGTGTTGAGGCTTTGGCCTATGTAAGCCGCATCGAGTCCTTCAGGAGATGGTAGCGGGGTACAAATAAAGTTTAATAATAATAATAATAATAATAATAATAATAATAATAATAACAATAATAATCTGAGCCCTGCCACATGCACGATGGAGGACCTTCTTGCGGCAACATCAGAGGCACTCCAAGTGGCCAGATAATGGTCAAAGGACACTTAATCAACTACCAAATTTGCAAACTTTGTGGGGTTTTTTAATCTGTTTGTTTGTTTTGTTCTGTTAGAAATGTAATACAATGGTCTGGTTGCCCCTGACACGATAAATAAAAATCCCTGTATTGTTTTGAACTGGAATATATGGACTCAGATGTTGTTGTTGTTCATTCGTTCAGTCGTCTCCGACTCTTCGTGACCTCATGGACCAGTCCACGCCAGAGCTCCCTGTCGGCCGTCACCACCCCCAGCTCCTTCAAGGTCAGTCCAGTCACTTCAAGGATGCCATCCATCCATCTTGCCCTTGGTCGGCCCCTCTTCCTTTTTCCTTCCACTTTCCCCAGCATAATTGTCTTCTCTAGGCTTTGCTGTCTCCTCATGATGTGGCCAAAGTACTTCAACTTTGTATCTAGTATCCTTCCCTCCAATGAGCAGTCGGGCTTTATTTCCTGGAGGATGGACTGGTTGGATCTTCTCGCAGTCCAAGGCACTCTCAGAACTTTCCTCCAACACCACAGCTCAAAAGCATCTTTCTTCCTTCGCTCAGCCTTCCCTAAGGTCCAGCTCTCACATCCGTAGGTTACTACAGGGAATACCATGGCTTTGACTAGGCGGATCTTTGTTGCCAGTGTGATGTCTCTACTCTTTACTATTTTATCGAGGCTGGACATTGCTCTCCTCCCAAGAAGTAAGCGTCTTCTGATTTCCTGGCCACAGTCTGCATCTGCAGTAATCTTTGCACCTAGAAATACAAAATCTGTCACGGCCTCCACATTTTCTCCCTCTATTTTCCAGTTGTCAATCATTCTTGTTGCCATAATCTTGGTTTTTTTGATGTTTAGCTGCAACCCATCTTTTGCGCTTTCTTCTTTCACCTTGATTAGAAGGCTCCTCAGCTCCTCCTCGCTTTCGGCCATCAGAGTGGTGTCATCTGCATATCTGAGGTTGTTAATGTTTCTTCCAGCAATTTTCACCCCAGCCGTGCATTCATCAAGCCCCGCACATCGCATGATGTGTTCTGCATACAAGTTAAAAAGGTTCGGTGAGAGTATGCAGCCTTGCCAGACGCCTTTCCCAATCTTGAACCAGTCTGACACATGACAGCCACCAAATTGAGCCAGAGTTAGTTCTGAAGGGGCATTTGGCCCAGAATGCTCATGAGGGCTCAATACAGATCCGCTCTCCAATTTGTATCTGTAAAAAATAATCCGACAGAAGTGAGTTATGGTCCCAATTCGTCCCACGCGTGTCTTTTGCTCCGAAAGCTGACACATGAAGCATCCACGCAGAAAAACTATTCTGAGAAAGGGTCGCGCGGCCGAAGCGCTCTTCAATCCTGTTGTCATAGCGACGCGCATTTCCGCTTGAGAGGCCATTCGCTGAAGACGGGACGGCTCTCCACTGCGCATGCGTGCCAGAGGTGCGCTCTGAGGGGAGCGCGAGGGAAGGAGAGAGAGGAGCGTCCCCGTGGCAACGTTCTGCTTCGCTTGTTCCGCCATTGTGACGGGGAGCCTGGGCTCGGCGGGGCCTTTGTCCGGGGAACTTGCGGGGAAGCGGGAGGCGAAGGGGGCGGGCGCGGGAGCCGGCCCGGCGGCGTTGGCGGGAGAGTGGGCATGTGGCGCCGGGGCCGTGAAAGGCATGCCGGGTCCTCCCGCGCCCTCTGCGGTCCCGCGCTGCTTCTGGCGCTGGTGCTGAGTCAGGGCCTCCCCTCAGGTAAAGGCCGCGCCGCCGACGCTGCTCCACGTTCCTCCAGTCTGGGATATATCCCGCGCTTTCTGAATAAGGCCTATTGGCCAAGGACACGACGGGCTATTGCAGGCCGATTGATCCCAATCTGATTAAGGCCTCAGACACTCACTCTGTTTGGGCCTCCACCTCCCAGAAGTCCCAACCAGCTTGTTCAGTGGTCAGGAATTCTGGGAGTTGGAGGCCCGCCCTTTGAGGGTGACTGGGGCCCCTTCCACACAGCTGAATATAATCTCACATTAACAGTTTTGGTTGGAATATATGGCAGTGTGGACACAGATAATCCCGTTCAGGCTGGTCCACGCCTTAGTCACCTCCAGATTGGATTACTGTAATGCACTCTACGTGGGGCTGCCCTTGAAGACGGCCTGGAATGGCTTGGAATAACACGAGCTGCAGTTTTGTGACGTCTTCTCTGCCAGATAGTGCCACAATGTAGGGCCCTTCCACACAGCCATATAACCCAGAATATCGAAGCAGAAAATCTCACAATACCTGCTTTGAACTGGGTTTTGTTCATTCGTTCAGTCGTCTCCGACTCTTCGTGACCTCATGGACCAGCCCACAGCAGAGCTCCCTGTCGGCCGTCACCACCCCCAGCTCCTTCAAGGTCAGTCCAGTCACTTCAAGGATGCCATCCATCCATCTTGCCCTTGGTCGGCCCCTCTTCCTTTTGCCTTCCACTTTCCCCAGCATCATTGTCTTCTCTAGGCTTTGCTGTCTCCTCATGATGTGGCCAAAGTACTTCAACTTTGTCTCTAGTATCCTTCCCTTCAGTGAGCAAGTCGGGCTTTATTTCCTGGAGGATGGACTGGTTGGATCTTCTCGCAGTCCAAGGCACTCTCAGCACTTTCCTCCAACACCACAGTTCAAAAGCATCGATCTTCCTTCGCTCAGCCTTCCCTAGGGTCCAGCTCTCACATCCGTAGGTTACTACAGGGAATACCATGGCTTTGACTAGGCGGATCTTTGTTGCCAGTCTGATGTCTCTACTCTTTACTATTTTATCGAGACTGGACATTGCTCTCCTCCCAAGAAGTAAGCGTCTTCTGATTTCCTGGCCAGTCTGCATCTGCAGTAATCTTTGCACCTAGAAATACAAAGTCTGTCACGGCCTCCACGTTTTCTCCCTCTATTTCCCAGTTGTCAATCATTCTTGTTGCCATAATCTTGGTTTTTTTTAATGTTTAGCTGCCACCCAGCTTTTGCGCTTTCTTCTTTCACCTTGATTAGAAGGCTCCTCAGCTCCTCCTGAACCAGCTTGTTCAGTGGTCAGGAATTCTGGGAGTTGGAATCCCGCCTTTTGAGGGTGACTGGGGCCCCTTCCACACAGCTGAATATAATCTCACATTATCAGCTTTGGTTGGAATATATGGCAGTGTGGACACAGATAATCCCGTTCAGGGTAGTCCACGCCTTAGTCACCCCCAGATTGGATTACTGTAATACACTCTACGTGGGGCTGCCCTTGAAGACGGCCTGGAATAACACGAGCTGCAGTTTTGTGACGTCTTCTCTGCCAGATAATGCCACAATGTAGGGCCCTTCCACACAGCTATATAACCCAGAATATCAAAGCAGAAAATCTCACAATATCTGCTTTGAACTGGGTTACCAGAGTCCAAACTGCCAAATACTCCAATTCAAAGCAGAGAATGTGGGATTTTATTCAGATGTGTAAGGGGCTGTGGATGCATCCTGTGTGTGTTTATTTATTTATTTACTTTATTTACTTTATTTGTACCCCGCTAACATCTCCCGAAGGACTCGATGCAGCTTACAAAGGCCAAGGCCTCAATAAAACAACAATATAACAAATACACATAAACCATAAAACAAATCAAAACATGAAAGCAATAACAGTAAACAATTAAAAGCAGTACACATAGCACAATAAAACTAAGGCTGGGCCAAGTGTTATGGGTACAGATTAAAAAGTGGTGAGTATGCCAAATGAAATATAAGGATGTTTGGGTATGTGCAGTGTGCGGACAATCTTAAAATCTCTAATAAAGTGTTTCCGGGACATGTTGCTGGAGTTTCCTATTTTGGAAAGGCACACCGGAATAGCCAGGTCTTCAAGCTCTTCCTAAAGACTGCCAACGTAGGGGCTTGTCTGATGTCCTTGGGAAGGGAGTTCCAGAGTCAGGGGGGGGTCTACCACAGAGAAGGCCCTGTCCCTCGTCCCCATCAAACGCGCCTGCAACGCAGGTGGGATCGTGAGCAGGGTCTCCAGATGAGCGAAGGGAGCGTGCGGGTTCATAAACGGAGATGCGTTCACGCAGGTAGGCAGGTCACAAACCGTTAAGGGCTTTGTAGGTGAGCACCTGCACCTTGAATTGGGACCGGAAAATAAACGGCAGCCAATGGAGCTCCTTAAACGGGAGGGTTGACCTCTCTCTGTAAGGAGCACCAGTTAACATCCTGGCCGCTGCCCTTGGACTAGCTGAAATTTTCCGAGCTGTTTTCAAGGGCAGCCCCACGTAGAGTGCATTACAGTAATCCAATCTAGAGGTAACCAAGGCATGGACCGCCCTGGCCAGATCAGCCTTTACGAGGTACGGTCGCAGTTGGTGCACGAGTTTTGATACCTAGCCCAGGAGATACCTTTTTTCTTTAAAACAAGGATTCACCAAATGCCATTTGCTATTTTCACAAAGTCTCCTTGAATCTAAAACACTGTGAAGACTAGAAAATTGCAACCATGCACAAGAGGGTATTCCTAAAAAATCTAAACATATGAAATGGTATGTGGTTTGGAGGATGTATACTAGAGTCCCTGGAGACTGCACTTTACTTCACCCTGCACTAAAGTTTAGACCAGGGGTCCTCAAACTATGCCCCGAATACCGAATACGGCCCTCCAAGATTATTTACCCGGCCCTTGCTCAGGGTCAACCTAAGTCTGAAACGACTGGAAAGCAGATAATAACAATCCTATCTCATCAGCCAAAAGCAGACCCACACTTCCCATTGAAATACTAATAAATTTATATTTGTTAAAATTGTTCTTCATTTTAATTATTATATTGTTTTTAATTGTTTTTGCACTACAAATAAGATATGTGCAGTGTGCATAGGAATTCATTCATGCTTTTTTCAAATTCTAATCCGGCCCTCCAACAGTTTGAGGGACTGTGACCTGGCCCTCTGTTTAAAACGTTCGAGGACCCCTGGTTTAGACTGAGGGAAGGGGCCTTTATTCCATGGAGACATCCAAGTCAGACATGGAATTACAGATTTGACCCTGTGGAGAGGAGGTGTATTCTCCACTTTTCATGGTTTCTAAATGCCCGTTGTAAATTGCTTTGTCAAAACCTTTCACATCTGCATGTTAGGTAATATTCAGCATTCAGTATTTAAAGCTGGATCTAAATATAGTGGAGGTACTGCTGCTGCCTGCACTTCTGAATGCCTCAGGCATGACTAGCTTAGGGAATGGGAGCTCTCATCTGTATCTAGATCAAGGCATGATGGCGAGGACCTGGTTGCTGCTTGCTTGCTTGCTTTTCCCAACCATAATTGGGAATTGCTTAGCACTTCTTCGCTCTTCTATAAGCCTGTGAAAGTTAAAGTGGAACTAATGTCTGGAAGAAATTTGAGTGCTGTTCAAAAAGAGGAAAAAGAATTAAAAAATATTCAAGGAAAACAAATATTTAGTAACCGAAGGAGGATCAATATATTCTCTAATCGGAAATCAAATTTGTTTCTGTAATCTATTATTAATAGCTACTAATAAAATAGATATTAAAGAGCTCCATCTTGTGTTTTTGCATACTTCACTTTTTCTTAGTTAGGAATGTTAAATGAAAATGGGCCACCATGTCTAAGGGATGTGGTTCCAGGACTATACGTGGGTGCAAAAATGCAGGTGATTATGACCCTTATTAAATGGCAGCTACATTAATGCACACATTTATGTTTGGCTGCATGCACATTGCCACCATATAGAGTGTGATCCACGGTCAATGGAATTTGAAAATCCAGAAGGTTTATTGTCTGAATGGGTGAGATGAAAAGAATTTTAAAAGATTAGTGTGTTTGGGATGCTTTTAACAGGCTTTCCATTTTCACATATTTTTCAGTTTTGATTTTAAAAACTAAAATTAAAAATAATTTTTGCATGTTTAGGCTAATAAAATTGTTCACTGGCACAAACAAAACAATGTTATTTGCATCCGATCATAATAGTGGGTTTAGTAACACACAACAAGATTTATCTCCAAAACTCCTAGAATCACTACCCAAATATTAGGCATGGTTTTAAAATGTTTTAAAGAATTTAAAGGCCGCAGTCCTGTATAATTAGAGGATGAAGCAGCAGTGTGTGCATTGTTATTTTCTAATTTTGTTCCAGTCATGTTCTTATGTGTATCCATTTGCAGGTCTATTGATTTTTCTCGTTTTGATATTTCTAAAAAGCTTTATTTTTATGCCAGCTGTTCTTTTTCTTCTGTTTTGATAGTTTATTCCTCTATCCATCAAGACCCTAATGGATTGAAAATAGTAGGATCGACCAATTTGCCAGGTATTCAAATTAAGATATTGAATTAATTTTAGGCTAATCACCTTTTAGAATTGTGGGCCAATCTTCAGTCAAATCTTGATTTTAAAATGACATATTACACACAGAATTCATAGCTCATTCTCCTTGCAACATGCCAGGAAATCATTGTGTAGATAGTACCCAAAGTTATGGTTAATGCGTTCAAAATTAGCCAGAATATGAAACCAGATTTTAAAATAAGTTTTGCATTCTTGTTTGTTGGGAACACTAATCATATTTCTTAGACTGCACACAATAGGAAACTGTTACTAACTACAACTTCCTAGCTTGCTTAGTCACTTGCATTCAAATAAAAGCAAAGCACAAATAAGGAGCACATCTACACTGAGTACTAACTCAGATTTCAACTAGCATAGAAAGTGGTTTCAATATACAGGTGATTAGATTGACAATACTGGAACTGGTTAGGCAGTGGTTCTCAACCTGTGAGTCCCCAGGTGTTTTGGCCTACAATTCCCAGAAATCTCAGCCAGTTTACCAGCTGTTAGGATTTCTGGGAGTTGAAGGCCATAAACACCCGGGAACCCACGGATTGATAACCACTGGGTTAGAGGGTAGGATGGTGTTTACACATACTATAGAGTTAGGAATGTATTTTCATTCCTGATTTTCATGTTCACTTACGTGGGTGAAAGCAAGGGTGGTAGAGGGGCAGGTTGCCTGCCCTGAGCTTCCAGAAGCATTTTCCTGTAACCAGTTCTAGGATCCACAGTATCTGCAGCTTGACAACAGCGGAGAATACAAATTTGTCCTGTAATCCTGTCCTGTAACCAGTTCTAGGATCCACAGTATCTGCAGCTTGACAAAAGTGGAGAATACAAGTTTTTTTCCAACTCACCCTGCAATGAACATGTACAGATCTGTGGACAGATTTGGATATCCACAAAGGCAGGCCCGTAGCCAGGATTTTGATTCGGGGGGGGGGGGGGGGGCTGAGTCTGAGTGAAAGAGGGTCTACCCTAGCAAACCTTTTGTATCATTACCCCAATACCCCCATGCATATGGGATATATTGAGCATGTTGATCAGATCATGATATGAATAAACATAACAGTTTAAATAATGTACCAGTAAGGCCTTCTCGCGGACACCCTCCCCCCCCCCCCCCCCCCCCGGCTACATGCCTGCACAAAGGAATTTGCATTCTGTAGAGTTGCACTTGCTATGCAATGTTGTTTATTCTGGAGTGCACTGATGCTTATTAAGGGCTCTATTTTGGCGTATCCCTCGATTTTGCTTATCTCAGTTTTCAAATGTCTTAAATTATGCTGCAGTATGCATTAATGGTGTACATAATGCAATTGTTCCTCTTTCAACCTGACTTCAGTGGTCAATATAAATATGCCCAAGGAATTAATCAAATTTGTAGTGGATATATTTACCTGAAATTTGATTGTGAAATGTGATTAACAAAACTGATTATTTATTCAAGGACAACTACAATAATTACATGAATTTGTTATATTGCTATGATCCTGCACATATATTGCAGGATCATATTGCTATGATCCTGCGGCATATAGAAATGGCAGGCATTTTAGTGACCAGGTGCTCCCTCCTGTTGAGTTTGAGGAGAAGCAAATAAAGGAGATATGATGCTTTTGAAATTCTTGGGAAGAGGCAGCTTTTCTTTCAAACAAAGCATGGACCCCCCCTCCCCAAAATGTGGTTGTCTTGTTTTCTCTCCACGATCAAGATAGATTCTGTAGGTTTGTTCTTAAGTTGAATTTGTATGTAAGTCAGAACAGGTACAGTTTTTAAGTGCAAATCCTGCCCCCCCCCCCCCTCGCTAAATAGGCTTTGGAGAGCATAGGGAAGGGCTGACACCCCTGTGATGTTTGCTTTGTGTCTGTATTCCATTTCAGAAGATTTCACCTCACTTTCTGTCCCTGTAAAAATTAGATTTTGGAAAAAATGGATAACTCTCACAGGAGTGAATTTCCCTTCCGAGGGGCAGATTTTTCTTACTTCCTGTTGTCTCACCCCCATTTGTAACTATGAGTTGTTTGTAAATCAGTTGTTTGTAACTTGGGGTCTGCCTGTACTACCTAACTTTGCACTGTTTTCGTGTTCACTTGCGTGGGTGAAAGCAAGGGTGGTAGAGGGGCAGGTTGCCTGCCCTGAGCTTCCAGAAGCAGCTTCCCTCCCTGGGTGCCAAATCTAGTGGGAAGCCTAGATGCACTCCTCTTCGCAGAGGATGGAGATGAACTCTTTCTCCTGCCGAGCAAAGCAACAGAAGCCTGGGTGACTCCTTTCTGCAGAGGAAAGAGATACACTTCTTTCTCCCAGAGAGGTATATGGCTGCCCAGCTGAACTTCCCACTAAATTTGGCATCTGGAAAGAAGGCTGCTTTTGGAAACTCAGCAGAGGCAACCTGCCTGTTAAGGTGTAGTTATCCCTTCCGCTCCTCTCCCCTTCCCTCCGTGAGGCAGCAGGTGAGTGGAGTGGTGGTATGGAGCAGGAAAACTGATATTTTGATTATGTACAATATTTTCAGCTTTCAGCAGCATCAGTCCTTAGACAAAGGGCTCCAGATTTCATACAAACTTCTGTAAAGGTTCCTGGAATAGATCCTTTTCTTAGTATGTGGGCCTACTGCATTTCATTTTTCTTAATGGATACATTCAGCTGGCTCCTTAAGTGGCAATAATCATGTACTCTTGTAAGCACATTTTGTGTGTGTGTGTGTGTGTGTGTGTGTGTGTAAGATAAGGGGATGTGTCTGCACAGACAACATGATGTGCATGAGGGGGTGCGGATTCAATACATCACCCAATTGATCCCGAGGATTCATTTTCAAAGCATTTTTTCTGTTTGAAGTTTTACACTATATTTATTGGCATAATTGCAGTTGTATTTGTGATGTATGCAAGACCACCACTGATAAAAAAGACTATATTTTTCAGTCAAAGTTTATGTCAGATTGAGTCACAACAGTCCGCGTATTCTATGTGTTACGAATCGTCTGAGAAATTTAGAAATGATCGATCCAATATTTCAGTGGCATGGACCAGGAGGTCATCTGGTTACAGGTATTTTTTTTCTAATTCCATCTTAGATAGTAATTGTCTTTTTAAGAGGCAGGAAGTAATTGATTTGTAATGGTATTGGTTTTCAAAATATATTATTTATTTACTTTTTCATTCTCTTTGTTCTTAGAGTTATAACTTAAAGTTCAGAAAATATTCATAACATATTTAATCACAGTGAAGTAATTGCTGATTGTGCTTGTGTTTGAACTAAATCGTACAGAGGCATGATCAAGCCTCCCTAGGAAATGCCAGAATACACACACACACACCCCTACCTGTACCATGATATGTGAATAAAAGGAAGAGTTTGGAATGTTTATTAATATTTTAAACAAAACTTGCATTTCAGCCAAACGTCAAATTGGTTAGTTTTAAACATAACTTAGCATGTACAGTAATATCTTATGTATGATTAATTTTAAATAATCCAGCTCCCACTGTATATGAACTTGCTGCGCTACATAAGATAAACAAATTACAATATACATTGTGCGTTAAATCGTGACAATCATAAAACACTAACATATAAATGAATAAATAAGATGTGAAAAATTACATATAGACTAAAAATCATAATCCAGAAACCGTTCCAATCACATTGCAATTCACTTCGTAGCTGTAATAATAATAATAATAATAATAATAATAATAATAATAATAATAATAATAACAACGACACTTTATTTGTACCCTGCTACCATCTCCCCAAGGGACTCGGTGCGGCTTACATGAGGCCGAGCCCAAATACAACAATACAAGCAATAACAACAGTACAAGCAATTAAAAAAAACATAGACAATAAAATATACAACATTATCAATAAGACAACACACAATTAAAAACAGTGGGAAGGCCAAATGTAAAATTAAAATTGGAAGTAATGCTGGGACATGGATGAAAAGGTGATAGTGGTGTTTGTGGAAGGGCGTACGAGCAGACCTAAATAAATGTATATAGCCCTATGCTACTCCCCAAACACATAGTCCCATAGCCAGGTTTAACTTGTTTTCTAACGGATAGGAGGGAGGGGGCGATCTAATTTCACTGGGAAGGGATTTCCACAGCTGAGGGGGCCACCATTGTGAAGGCCCTGCCCCTTGCCCCCGTCAGCTGCACCTGTGAAGAAGGTGGGACCAATAACAGCCTCCTCCCCAGAAGAGCTTAGCACCCAGGATGGTTTATAGGGGTTCTGATATAGATATCTGGATCTGGTTTGTGAATAAGCTATAAAAATAGGACTTCTTAAAGCAGAATTCAGAATAGGAAAAAAAGGAAAGGGTTTGAATCTTTGAACATGAAAACTGAAAGCATCATTTAGTGATTTACTATTCTCATTCATAACAATTAATGAAAAAAGAGGCAATTAAAAAAAGATAAAATCTATTTTCAGAAATTTAGCTTTTATATAGGGTAAACTCATAATATTAATCATAAACGAGTAGGAAAATGCTCCTTTAAAAAAAGAAACAACTTCAGCATTGTGCCTCATTAACATGTTTAAATGCATTTGAAAATTTATGAAATTTTGTCATTTTGACTAATCAAAAAGTATTTGACAGTATCCCAAGTTATACATTTAAATTTTATTACAAATCATATTTACGTGAATCTAAGGCACACCTTTTTTGGCTAAATGACCATGACAAAATACGGTAAATAGAAGGGTTGGACCACACACCTTTTTGGAACAAATTACTAAGTGCACTTTTTGCCGCTGTGCATTACATTCGCCAGCTTTTTTTTTTTTTGCTTTTTTTTTGGTTTCAGGGTTTCGAAAATTGAAGTGCACATTAGATTTGATGACACACAAGATTCAAGTAAATACAGATTGTCATCCCCAATCCACCCAAATTTTTCCATTTTCCTTAATGATTCCTATGTAGAACAATTAAATTGTGTTAAGTTGTATTGATTTCTCTTTTGCAGCAACAAAATGAAAAAATTCAAATATAAACCACTAATGTGATGTATCCTACCATTTGGGGAAATTTATCTTGCCTAAAGTCAAGAAAACTCAGTGGGTCCATTAATGTTCTTGTGGGATGATAATTCTTGACAGTCAATACATTTGAGTTCTACAATGCATTCACCACATGTAAAAAGTCTCGTTTTTGACACAGAATCAGCAATTATTTCAAGATTCAAAGATCTTTTCCAATTATCAAGATGCTAAATACAGTAGCATTGTCATTTGTAGTTTTCTTGAAACAATGAAATCATAATAAACTAATAGGTCTAAGAAGGATGAAAAGAAAATTGCTTTCTTATTTTTGTTTATGTTATATAATCATAAGTACTGTACTATTTTGAATTGTGCTATGTTATACCATCCAAATGTAGCTTAAAATAAATACTTCCTGCCTGCAAATGTTCATACTGGTTTGCTTGCTGAAAATGAGAAATTTAGCCAAGTTGAATTTCCAATCTCTTTAGGAACCTTTGCAGAAAGATAAATAACAGGTCAATTATCTGCAACTTTGTGGGAACTGTTCTTCCTAATGTTCTGGTGGAATCTCCTTTCCTGTAGTTTGAAGCCATTGCTCCACGTCCTGGTCTCCAGGGCAGCAGAAAACAAGCTTGCTCCCTCCTCCCTGTGACTTCCCCTTACATATTTATACATGGCTATCATGTCTCTTCTCAGTCTTCTCTTCTGCAGGCTAAACATGCCCAGCTCTTTAATCCGTTCCTCATAGGGCTTGTTCTCCAGACCCTTGATGGTTTTAGTCGCCCTCCTCTGGACACATTCCAGCTTGTCTTTTTACTGTATAAAAATTATACAGCTACGTAACCTTGTTTTTGCACAGAATGCAAAACTATGTTGCAGACAGTATACTCCTAAAATACACAATTAAGTGTTTTACATTGTGGTGGCAACGTTTGCTTGTTTAAAAATGTAAGCCATATGATTGACTGAAGCTCCAGTCACATATGGGTTTGTTGTGCAACATTGGTTTTTTCTACATAGAAAGTACACAAAAGATAGGCATGTGGTTTTGCTGTGTATCTTTGTTGTTTTCTGCATCTTTTTTTGTTGTGCAAGATTTCTGTGCCTTTATATAGAAAACAGCAATATTGCCCAACAAAAAATATAAAAAATCACCTCGCATAAAATCCACCAATATTTTTGGTGCACAGTTTTGCTGGTTTTATGTGAAATACTGCCATTTTTCGCAACATGTGATATAAGTATTTATATATGGAAAATCCACTAATGTTGCTAAACAAAGCCACATGCCTACCTTTTGTGTAACATTACTGAATTTCTGCTGTTTTCAACTTTTTTTTTGCCAGAATCAAAGAATATGCACACAGGCCACCCGAAACAGTCTTGTGCAAACCACATAATTTGAATGTTGTGAAATTTCCTTTTGATACAAAAGGCTGCACAGTTTTTTGTGAAGGAGAAGCTGAGTAGTTTCTGGAAAACTGCAAGCCTTTAGGCAAGCTTCATAGCTGTTCTGGAAATGCTGTGATTTCCCATAATTTGATGGCTTGGATCAGAATCACACTGGTGATTCTGATCCTGTCCTCTGAGATATTAGCTATTCCTCCCAATTTGGTGTCATCTGCAAAATTGACAAGTTGATAAAGATGTTGAATAGAACTTGGCCAGAACAGAACCCTTTGGCACCCCGCTAGTCACTTTGTGTTGCCATTATATATTTTAATGTCCTGTATTCTAATCATGCTGTTAGAGCTTGTCCCCATGTAAGCCGCCCCAAGTCCCTTTGGGGAGATGGAGGTGGGGTACAAAAATAAAGTATTATTATTATTATTATTATTATTATTATTATTATTATTATTTTCTTCTCCAGAATGAGTACTCTTTGGGTTAAATAAACCAGTTCCTGATCAACCTTACAGTAGAATTGTCTACCCCACTGCTTCTTAAACTGTGGGTCCTGACCTGAAATCGGATCTCCTTAGCTCAATGTTGGTGTCCTGAAAAATTTGGCAAGAGTGAAAGTTTTCTGAACATCACCTATTGGCTCTTTAGACATTTCCACAACTCCGTTATGCAATGTTGATGGTGGACTTTGCAGAAGATGCTTCAGCTGCACTTCAAAAAAAGAAAAATCAACCTGTTTAGCAAGTCTTGCCAGTGCTGATATATGTAGATGTTTGGGTTTTATACCTATTTTATATGCCCACGTGCCCTGGATCATGTAAACATTTCTTGGCCCAAAAGGTTCACGAGTGGAAAAGTTTTAAGAAGCCCTGGTCTAGCCGATAGTTTATTACCATTTTGTGAGAATATCATGACGGCCTTTATCAATATTAAAATCAAGATTTTCTATGTTCACAGCATTCCTTCCATCTGCCAACCATGTAACTCAATCAGAAAAAGATATATGGTTAGTCTGGCGTGACTTGTATTTAAGAAACCCATGTTGACGTTTCCTGAGTATGGCATCCCTTTCTGAGTGCTTCCAGATTGTCTTTTTAATGATCTGCTCCAGAATCTTTCCAGGACTTGATGTGAGGCTGATTGGCCAGAATTGTTTCAGTCCTCTTTTTTCCCCTCTTAGAAGTTGGAAACAACATTTGCTTCTTCCAGTTTGCTGGAACTTCTCCTGTTCTCAAGGAATTCTAAAAGACGATTGCCAGTAGTTCGGAATTTACTTCTGCCAGTGTTTTTCTTATCCTTGAATGTAGTTCATCTGGTTTTGGAGACTTGGAGACTTGAATTTGTGTAGGGTAACCAGATATTCCTGTACTGCCTCTTTACTTCAGTTCTGATCTGAAGTATTAATCAAAATGGGGATATTCACCAATCAGAATATGAAATCATTTCTTGCTATGGATCTTTTCTTTCTCTTTAGGGATGCCAATGAGTCATTGCTAAATAAATACCTGATTTATTAACAGACAAAAACAAAAATTCCACAAACGCCAAAAGCAACAGCCGAAACCAGAACTGGATACATCACGGACCATCATCAACCTGACAGACAGACAACTCTCTGAAGACCAAGTATCCATACTAGCGAAAGGAGGAAACTTTTCTGTAACCGCCACCAGGATCCCAGTAGAAAACATCATTGCCAATGTTGAATCAGCAATTTATCGCCTCCCCGAGGAGGAAGCAGAAGAAGTACGAGCAGAAACAGCAAGGATCCTAAAAAAGGCAAAACTTCCCTCCAGTAACATTACTAGGAAGGAAAGACAAGCCATCAGAGAACTGAATTCAGATCCTGATATCCTCGTTATGCCAGCAGACAAGGGGAATGCCACAGTTATCATGCATACAGAACAATACAAGGAGAAGATCAGAAAACTCCTGGACCCTACTATATACAAAAAACTCAAGCAAGACCCAACTGCCAAAATAACCAAGAAAACCAACACCCTGATTAAGAACTCCTCCATAAACTTTGACATACGACAACAGCTATGTAAATCGGAAGCCCATCCACCCAGGCTTTATGGACTCCCAAAAATCCATAAGGACTCCACCCCACTCAGACCCATCGTGAGTGCCATTGGATCCCCCACATACGACCTAGCAAAATTTCTTGCTGCACAGTTACAAAGCCATATTGGGCTCACTACACACTACATCAAGGACTCAGCCCACTTCATAGAAAAAATCAGCAATCTCAAGCTAAATACAAATGACAAACTGATCAGCTTCGATGTGGTATCTCTATTTACCATGGTCCCGGTAGCAGACACCATGGCACTCATCAACCAGAGGTTCCCAGAAGACATCACGGCTCTGTTTCACCATTGCCTTACCACCAGTTACTTTCAGTGGGACAATGAATTCTACGAACAGAAAGATGGAGTAGCTATGGGGAGCCCTCTCAGCCCGGTCATAGCTAACTTCTACATGGAACATTTTGAAGAACAAGCCCTGGAAACAGCAGCCAAAAAGCCCACGATATGGTTCAGATATGTGGATGACACCTTCACCATTTGGAGCCATGGAGAAGAAGAACTCAACAGGTTCCTGGACCATCTTAACAGCATCCACCCAAACATCCAGTTCACCATGGAAAAAGAAAATGAAGGAAGACTACCTTTTCTAGATGTCCTAGTCATCCGCAAACCAGATCAACAATTGGGTCACACCGTCTACAGAAAACCCACACACACAGATAGATATCTACATAAAACTCCAACCATCACCCAAGTCAAAAAAGAAGCACCATTAAAGCCTTGGCAGACCGTGCAAAAAGAATCTGCGAACCCCACCTCCTCCAAGATGAACTGAACCACCTCAACTGGGCTCTCCAGGCCAATGGATACTCTACCTCAGACATCAGAAGAGCTGCAAGACCAAGAACAAGCCACGAGAGTAAAGATGAAGATCCACCCAGAGGAAAAGTGTTCCTGCCATACATCAAGGGAACCACTGACCGCATAGGGAAGCTGATGAGGAAACACAACATACAACAATCTACAAACCCACCAAGAAAATCCAACAAATGCTACGTTCAGCAAAGGACAAGAGGGATCCTCTCACTTCTGCAGGAGTCTACCGTATACCATGCAGCTGTGGACAAGTCTACATAGGGACCACCAAACGCAGCGCCCAGACACGCATCAAGGAACATGAAAAGCACTGCAGACTACTTCAACCAGAGAAGTCAGCCATAGCAGAGCACCTGATGAACCAGCCTGGACACAGCATATTATTTGAGAACACAGAAATGCTGGACCACACCAACAACCACCATGTCAGACTACACAGAGAAGCCATTGAAATCCACAAGCATGTGGACAATTTCAACAGAAAGGAAGAGACCATGAAAATGAACAAAATCTGGCTACCAGTATTTAAAAAACTCTAAAATTACAACAGCACAACAACAAAGAGGAAACAAACAAGGACATCTAATCACCTCTCAACAAAAGATTGCTCCAGGCACTGCCAGGCATTCAAATGCTAATCAAGGTGGTCAGTTGAAACATTCACACCTAGCTCCAGCAGACAAGAGTCCTTTGTCCCACCCTGGTCATTCCACAGATATATAAACCCATTTTCCTACTTCCAACAGACCTCACAACCTCTGAGGATGCTTGCCATAGATGCAGGCGAAGCGTCAGGAGAAATGCCTCTACAACATGGCTCTATAGCCCGAAAAAACCCACAAGAACCTACCTGACTTATTTTTATTGCCAGACTGAATATTGACTTTTGCACAAGACTGGAAAAATCAAAATGGATTGTTGGTTGCACAATGGAAGAACAAGGTTTGGCCCCTAACACTTAAGGAAGAGCTTACTTTATATGTGCACTCTTTAAGAAATATAGTCAGGCATAAGCAACATGGTGTCCATTTATTTCATACAAGCACAGAAAGCCAATTTAGTTTCACATCTTAGTTTTGCATGTTAACATTTGGAAAAATGTAATATATAACATCACGATTTGAAATTGAGTATAAGGTGTTGCCTGTTTGGTTTTTGTTGTTAAAAAATCTAATTATAGAAAACTACATTTATTTTACCTTTATAACAGAAAATTCAAGTGTGAAAATAACGCCAACAGGAACTCTGTTATTCCGACACTTCAAACATGAGATGAGTGGAGTGTATACATGTTCCCTTGTATTTAAGCCAAATACTGAGCAAGATGGAAAAAGCTATTTAATGAAATACATTATTTATGGTAAGATATACCTATATTTCTGAACTAAACTTCTTGTCTTTAAAATATCATTTGGTTTTATAATACTGTAAGCAGAGGTCCAGCACACAATTGTTGAACTCCAGCCACATTCAATAATCATCTGCACCTTGTCTCCTGCTTTTCAAAAATCATGAGCTAAATCAACATACGTCTTGTTTGAATTTGACTGATGTAACCCAAAACATGTCATGAAAGACACCTTGCATTTTATCTAATATTCTTAGTCAGGAATTTCCCATCATTTTTTAAAAGAAAAAAGTGAACTCTGGTGAAAAAGAATAAAATGCATTTTAAAGATTTTATAGCAGGATAATGTAATTGCATCCTGATAGCTTAACTCAGTCCTTTAAAAGTAATTTTCTTTTTGTCCTAATACTGTTTGGAGCAGTTCTTTAATTTGGTTTTATTCTCCAAAATAAGCAAAAGGCAACAGATTGCCTTTCCTGTTCCTTAAATAATTATCCTTTCTTTGTTTGCAATCAATCTTTTAAAATGTCTCATTTTTAATGCAGTTGGAAACATGCTGTATATTTAAATATTTATTTTGGGGTAACTGGCCCTCTGGCAATCACACTGTAGACTGCATACAGTGAGTGGTCATACCTACTTCAGCCATGTGTCCCAAGGTTCTTATCTGTAAGCAGTTCACTGGCGGTTTATCAAGTTGCACTTCCTGAAGGACTTGTACTATATACTTGGACCATATGAAGGACTTTAAAAAATGACTACATGCAGTTTCCAAATTACGAACAAAGTAGGTTCTGTAGATTTGTTCTTAAGTGGAATTTGTTTCTAAGTTGGAACAGGTACATTTTTAAAGTGTAGCTCCACACACACACAAAAGCACTGGATGGCATAGGGAAGGGTTAACGCCCCTGTGGTTTTGCTTTACTGTCTGTACCTCTGTTCAGAACATTTCACCGCACTATCTGTCGCTGTGATAATTGGATTTTGAAAAAAATTGGCTTGTTGTGGAAACAAGGATTGGTGATAAAGCCTCAGTTGGGACACCTTTCTCCTCTAATGCTTTCAAGAGTGAATCTCCCTTCCTAGGGGTAGATTTCTCTCACTTCTTGTTGTCTCACCCCCATTCTTTAACTATGAGTCATTTGAAAGTTGGATATTAAATTAAGTGACGCTAATCACCTTTTGGAATGGTGGGTCAATCATCAATCAGTCAAATCTTGATTGTAAAATGACATGTAACAGAGTTCATAGATCCTCCTCCTTGCAACTGGCCAGGAAATCATTGAGTAGATCAGTAGTTCTCAACCTGTGGGTCTCCTGGTGTTTTGGCCTTCAACTCCCAGAAATCCGAACAGCTGGTAAACTCCCAGCAATTCCAGCCATTTTATCAGCTGTTAGGATTTGTGGAAGTTGCAGACCAAAACATCTGGGGACCCACAAGTTGAGAACCACGGGTAGAGGGTAGCATAGTGTTTACACATACTATAAAGGCTGCCATGTAACCAGTTCTAGGATCCACAGTATCTGCAGCTTGACAGCAGTGGAGAGTACACAGTTTTTTTCACCACCACCCCCTCCTCCTGGAATGCACATGTGCAGATCTGTCAACAGATTTATATATCCACAAAGGGGTTTGCATTTACAAATGTAATACAATTTTAATTAAAATATTATGAAGAAAATTGTAAGTTTATATTTTTATCTTGTATTTTTCTTTACTGCAGCTTATTCTGACCCTAGCTTTTACTACGAGTTCACTGTTCGATATCATGCAACTTCCTGTAACAATATCCACAATATTTCTTTTGGGAAGAATTTGCTTCGAGGACTTTCCAAACTTGTGTCTGAGTTAACCTGTGAGGTTTCATTACGCAAGTCAGAATGTCATCATGTTAAAATGCAGAGAGGTGGAATGCAAAATGAAATATTTTTTACTTTTACAGGTAAAATCTACTTTTTGGACAGTTTGATGAAACTTTCATTTCATGAAAAATATTTATTCAAGACATTTCTACTGACAGCCAAATTTAATGAAATAATATTTCATGTAAGAAATGAATTGCCCAAACATTTTCTAGTTATTATACACTTACTTAATTTTCAGATAATTGTCATTTAGTGAATGACTGAGTTAGGTTTTATTATGTTATGATTTATTATGTTATGGTTTTCCTTCAGAGTCATTAGATGCTTCAAAATTAGCACAAGGGCACACAGGATACCATCTTTGGCAAGGCAGTGTTCTCAACTATCTGTCCATGATCTGCTTTCTATCTTCCTAAAGCAGTGTTTCTCAACCTTCCTAATGCCGTGACCCCTTAATACAGTTCCTCATGTTGTAGTGACCCCAGGCACAAAATTAATTTTGTTGCTACTTCATAACTGTAATGTTGCTACTGTTATGAATTGTAATGTAAATATCTGACATGAAGGATGTATTTTCATTCACTGGACCAAATTTGGCACAAATACCTGATACGCCCAAATTTGAATACTAGTGGGGTTGGGGGATAGATTTTGATTTTGTCATTAGGGAGTTTCTGGGATTTATAGTTAACCTACAATCAAAGAACATTCAGAACTCCACCAACGGTAGAATTGGGCCAAACTTCCCACACAGAACACCCATGCCTTGAAGGGACTTGCTGGCACTCGCCTCCCTCCAACCTCAGACACTCTCCCTCGCCCGCATATGCGTACCATGCCATGCGCCAAGCACGCCTGCTCTCCCCTTACCACTTGGTGTCTCAGAAACTGCCCTCCCCTTGGCTGAGAGGCTGGCCAATCACAGCAGAGGAGAGCTTTTGGATTTGCCGTCTGTTCCCAAAAATGAAGAGAAGTACAGGCATAGAGATCTTCAGCCTTTTGTGCCAAAGGGGTTCTTAAGACCGACAGAAATATATGTTTTCTGATGGTCTTTGGCGACCCCTCTGAAACCCCCTCATGACCCCCCAGGAGTCCCAACCCCCAGGTTGAGAAACACTGTCCTAAAGGAAGTATTGCTTGGCATTCTACCCGTGTATTTGTGTCATAGATAAAGACGATGAACCAGTTACTTGCCTGTAAATGTGGTTCTTCAGTTGGTCATCTGTGAATTCACTTAAACCACCCCGTCCTTACCACTATAGCTTTTCCCCCTCAGCCTTGAGTCCACAAGTTGTGTTGAACTTAGAAATGGGTGGGAAGAAGACTATACATTGACACAATGGAAGGGGCAGAGTTCCTGTTGAAATGACACTTTCTCCAGCTTTGGAAAGTCCTGCATAGACAGAGTACAATATGTATGTGTTAGTTCCTTGACAGCTACTTGAAGAACCAGCTGCAGATAACCAACCAATTTTATTTTGACATTAAAATTGGAGCCCTCTACATTCACGGATCATGTTTTACCATTGAGTTTTGAGAGCTTAAATGTGCGGCTCTTTGCAAGATTTTTGTGTACAGTGCTGTGCAATGAGTGTTTCCCTTCTAAAATAAAATATTTTTACAGTTTCTTCTCTAGATGCAGAGAAAAGTAAAAGTGCATGTCAAAAAAGTTTGTGTGATGTATCGAGAAGATTACGAAAGGTAGTGTAGATTCATGTGAGAGCAAATAAAGCATACACAAAGTATTTTTGTTTGTAGTTCTTTTGTAAAATTTGAAAAGAATGGCTTTAAAGTTATTTGTTCAGAAGTAGTGATCGCAAGGGATGAGTAAGGTGAAATAGGAGACAGTCATATCTGAAATTGAAAGTGCCTAGTTCATCTTGGCATCTTAAGGAGATCAGTCAGCCTATAGGTTTGTAACAGTTGAAGAACAGAAAGTAGGAACAGTGAATACTTACAGAGGTGTGGTATCCTTCAAAGATCTATATTGAATTCAGGGTTATTTAAGTTATTCATAAATTGTTAAGACCAGCAATATTTACTTTAATATTTACTTCTTGTGGTTTTTAAATTGTATAGTTTTTAAGGTTGTGAGCAGCTTTTGCATCTCTGTTCCTGAGATAAGAGTGGAGTATTATTATTACTATTATTATTATTTTGCATGGGAGAATAAAGACCGCAGTGGCACAGTGAGTTAAACACTTGTGCCAACAGGACTGCTGACTGAAAGGTCGGTAGTTCGAATCTGGGGAGCGGGGTGAGCTGCTGTATGTCAGCTCCACCTTCTCTTTCAGGGACATGAGAGAAGCCTCCCACAGTACGGTAAAACATCTGGCCGTCCCCTGGTCACTGCCTTGCTGACAGCCAGTTCTCTCACACCAGAAGTGACTTGCAGTTTTTCAAGTCGCTCCTGAAACAAAAAAAAAGGGAAAATAATGATGTCTTAATTGGGAAGTTATATGCTACTGCTAGCATGATACTATTGAAAAATCCATGTCTATCTGCAGGAAGACCTTAGTTTTAAATGCATAAATCCAAGAAACATTACTTTGCTCTTAAGTAATGCCAGGTCAGTGAAAAATAGGACACATATCATCTATGATATCCTCAAATATGAGGGAGCTGACCCTGGCATGCTTCACTGAAACGTGGCTGGGAGATGATAGTGGTCCAAGTTGGATACTGTGTTAGTAAGCAAGTGAGGGAAAGCGGGCAAGGATGGGGTACTGTGGTCTGTAAGGACCATCTTAATCTGACCAGGCTACCTCCTAGGAAGCTAAGTCACATTGAGTGTGTGCACCTGATTCTGAAAACCAGGGATAGACTGGGGATTCTGTTAGTGTAGTGTACCATCCACCCCACTGGCTAACACTCCCTGGCCAAGCTCACGGAACTGGTCTCGGAGGTGTTGTTGGGAGTTGCTCAGTCTTTTACTTCTGGGTGTCAACATACCACTGGAGGCCAGTTTGTCAGGTGTTGCTTTGGAGTTCATGGCATCCATGACAAACATGGGCCTATCCCAATTGGTTTCCAGATCGACACACTCGGCAGATCATAGTCTTGATGTGATTTTCAGCTTGGAACATACAGATACTTCCAAGTTTTCATGGACAGATCACTTTCTGGTCAAAGCTAGTATCACAGCTACAGCCTACCCCTGCAGGGGTGGAATATCTATTAAAATGGTGGTTAATAAATACAATTTAGTATTATGATATAATGTAGAAATAATAAGAATAGCAATAGCTATAACCTACAAATATATAATATTATCATCATGTCGGTTTTCAGATGCATTGGTTCTAATACTAATCTCTTTTAAGTGATTGGTGTCTGTGGTTTTCATTGTGATATGTGTATATTTGTTGTTATATTTTAATCTGTTGTTCCCTGCCTCAATTCAGAAGGAAATGCTGGTAATTAATAACTAAAAAGTAAAGTAATGATAATGATGACACTCCTTGAGGCAATTTGACCACAGGTTATGTGGGGCTTTAAAGGACTGCCAGGACAGCTTCAAGTTATGGTGTCCTTGTGAGTAAGAGACCTTCAGATGGTCCTTTTATTAGATGTCTTGCTTAATTCTTGCAAATTTCAGGCTGTGGCTTCTGTTATTAAATCAAACTAGCTGTAATGTAAGCTTTCTCTTCACAAATGTTTTTAGTTTTCTCCAGCCTTATTTTTTCCAATAATAATTAATTTCTTATAATATACCCAAAATGTTATGCCCTCGGATTAACCAATTTTTTGTACTGTTTTTGTATCAGCTTAGAGATATCAGTATTGATTCTATTTCTTAGGCCAAATCAAAGTTTGAATATTATGGAAACGTTGCATTCTTCATTGCTCAGAGCCTGGGTTGTCTGTATGAAATTGTTTTCTTCATAATATTGAGTTACATGTGTGGGTATACCAGTACATTTTAATAGGTGTCTGGTTATAATTCTTTCTGGCATGCACAACTGTGAAGTGTCATTTTAGTGCCATTATGTTACAATTCTTTCAAAAGTATACAGAATTTCCTTTTATTCAGACTCGCCAAATGTTGAAATACTCTTGGCAGTTTTAGCCTGATCTTTCTTGTTGTTAAATGATATACTTAGATATTTTAATTAGTAATACAGTGATACTTGACAAGTGTTCATACAATAACAATTATTATAATATACAGTATATCATATTTGTGTGGGCTGTCATAGTTATGTCATTATGTGTTGTACCTGTACAGCTTTCATTGTCACCTCTGTAGAATACAACTACTAAAAATGGGTTGCTTTTTGAACAGTATATGATATTATTTTTTAAATCAGTTGTCTAAGGTAGTGGCTTTCAACCTTTGATCCTCCAGGTGTCTTGGACTTTAGGTCCCACAATTCCTAACAGCTGGCAAGCTGGCTGTCACTTCTGGGATTTGAAGTCCAAAATATCTGGAGGACCAAAGTTTGAATGCTACTGCTTTAAGGCAGGGATGGGGCACAGGCACAGCCCTTCAGATGTTGTTGGATTTAGCTGTTCTCCTTCACCACTACTTAGCTGCCTGTGCTAATGGGAGATGCAGTCAAGCTATACCATGAGGGTCATGTTCCTACCCTTATTTTAATACATATCCCTTATCAAAAATGCTTGGGATTTTGGATTTTTGGATTTTTGTATATATGTACACAATGAAAACATGGAGATGGGTCCAAAATCTAAACAGAAAACTCATTTATGTTTAATATAGACATTATATAGATAACTTGAAAGCAATTTTTACGTAATATTTTAATTTAAAAAGTTTGTGTACACTGAATCATTGCAAAGCATGTGGGGAATTTTGAATTTTCGAATTCCTGTTAAGGAATCCTCAACCTGCATTGTAGAAGTGCATAAAGATGAAAGCCAATCTCACAGATTTTGTTTAATAGTGCAGTCATGCATATTTTATATGTATTGTCAAAGGCTTTCATGGCCGGAATCACTGGGTTGTTGTAGGTTTTTCTGGGCTATATGACCGTGTTTTAGAGGCATTTTCTCCTGACGTTTCGCCTGCATCTATGGCAAGCATCCTCAGATCCTCACTACCATAGATGCAGGCGAAACGTCAGGAGAAAATGCCTCTAGAACATGGCCATATAGCCCGGAAAAACCTACAACAACCCATATTTTATATGTTAGTTTCTGAAGTAAGGATTTGGATTTTCTTTAGATTTTCCTAAATTCTTCTTTAGTAGCAACCTAGTTTGCTATTACTTCCAAATGGGACAAACCATACAGCTAGTTTGCAGAATCATGGCTTTTATAATCTATTGTATAGAGGCAAATCCTGGTTTACCTTGGGAAAAGAAAAGTGAGAAAGTACAAGGAAATGTATGCATCCAAGATGCTTTGTAACATCATTCTAATTCTTACTGGTATCTTCAACTGAAATAGAAATCATGCTTTTGATAGTCACATAACATCAGTTGTAATCTATTTTTCATATGAGAAATTAATTTCTAGATCTCAGAAGGGAAAGATTTTTTTAAAATTATAGAGTTGTAGTGAGCAGATGATTTAATTCTTGCCTTTGGAAAGATGTGAAGCAAATGTATTTCTCACAATCAACAAATGAGGACACTTTTCAGACCATATAATGTTATTGCATTAAATAATGCAGTTGAACAGAACCTAGTCAGTAGTATTTATATGTTCTGTACAGATATTTTTCTTTAGTAGATTCAAAGAAATATTGCTTTGTATTCCCCTCACAAGAAAATAATTTCTGTCTGCTTCAGGCAAAAGACTTAATAGAGCATTATTTTAGCCAGCAAGTTGAAGTTATTGGGAAACGGAAAGGACTGTTACCAGACACGTACTATATTGAAGGCACTCTGCAATTGGTGTGGATTAGACACTGTTTGCCAGGCTATGGAATAAATGCTCTACTACATCCAGATTGTCCCAATTGTTGTGGTAGGTAACAATCACTTCTGTTACAAATCTGAACTTTTTAATTTTGATTTCTATTTAGGTAGATTGAACAGTTTTGTATTGTATTGTATTTGTATTGTGCTCAGACACCCATTTGATTTTGGCACAGCTAGGCTGAAATGTTTAGTTTGGGGGGTCATGTTCAACTATATATATATATATATATATATATATATATATATATATATATATATATAATGATTACAGCATTTACATACATGTACAAACATTCAATGCTTTTACAATCATATACAATGGCACACAAACAAAGGCAGAGACTTCTCTTTTCATTTCTGGCAGAAATCCAATCTCATTTGCAGTTTTTAACTTTAACTAACTGGTGGCACAGTGGGTTAAACCCCTGTTCTGGCAGGACTGAAGACGAACAGGTTGCAGGTTCGAATCCAGGGAGAGGCGGATGAGCTCCCTCTATCAGCTCCAGCTCCTCATGCGGGGACATGAGAGAAGCCTCCCACAAGGATGATAAAAACATCAAATCATCCAGGCGTCCCCTGGGCAATGTCCTTGCAGACGGCCAATTCTCTCACACCAGAAACGACTTGCAGTTTCTCAAGTCGCTCCTAACACGACAAAAAAAAAACAAACTTTAAAATATCCTTCAGCATCCAGTGAATCTAAACCCAGTACTCCTTTGTCTTATCACAAGTCTACCACATACAATAAAATGTACCTAAATGTTGATCACATTTCAAACATTTATTTACAACACCTTGTAAATCTTGGAAATTCTTTCTGGTATTAAATACTATCAGTGCATCATTTTATCTATGTTTTTCTTCAAATAATAACTCAAAGTAAATTTTAAACCTTTTGTCCCCATTGGTCTACATGTAACCAGTGTGTTGTGACCACTTTGTCATCCATTCATTAATCTGCTTATATTTCCGTTTTTGGGAATATTTTATGTATTTTAACAATCAAATGGTCATCACTTGAGAAAAGTTGAATTTTTAGTCTTGATTTGATCCTTTCTTTTCCATCCTAAATTGTTTATGCAAATAAGTTTGAAACTTACATTTTTCTGTTTCTGTCTCTTCTCTTGATTTCATTCTATATTGCCCATTTGCTACTATAACCAGTTTCTTTTCTATACAAAGCTTCACACAGGAACACCGTATGGACAACGTAGAGTGAAATCTGGTTTTATTCTAAATTCTCAAGAATGATTATTCTATACTGTATAATGTATTGTATAATGATTTTATAATTAATATTCTTTTTCATCTTCTCATCCCAAAGAATTCACACACTCCAGCTATGTTTTGTTTTTCATTGTAGTTTAATTTCAAATCTGGGAGTTTCAAACTTTATCTTTGTTTGTATCCATACATACAGTGTTCATAGTAGACTCTGCAGGAAATGCTTCAACTGTACTCTACAAACAGGGAAATCAGCCTGTTCAGCAAGCCTTGCAAATGATGATTTATTCTCCATAAAAGTTTTATTCTTATACCTATTGTATTTACTTATATAACCGGAGTCACATAAGTTTAAGTTTGATGTGATTTCGTTCATTGGTTCTTTTGTTTTTAAGGTACTCATTATGCACAGAGCATTTAGATAGATAGATAGATAGATAGATAGATAGATAGATAGATAGATAGATAGATCACACACACACACACACACACATATATATAAACTAACATTTTAGACATGGGCATGCAGTGTTATTAAATTCAGGTGATTTTCTATATTTATTTTGGGACAACAAGCTGTTGGTCGTGGTGAGAATGGGGACGTAAGTTATTTGATTATATACAGTAGCATAGGTACCAAACAATGCCCAGGTTATATTATTTGTAACACTTTATTGTTTGTTTTTGGAGTTAATGAATGGGTCCCATTAGAAAATGCATAAGGATATGAGTAAACTACCACTCTAGTCATTCCAAGTTCACCCCCCCCCCCCCCACAACACCACCAGCAGTTAAATTTGGTTATATGGGTATTTTTGCTAAGTTTGGTCCAGTTCCATTGTGTTCTCTGGAATTTCTCCCTGGATGTTCGCCGAACAATTCCCATCATCCAGGGTCAATACCTTCCCTAGTCATTGGGGAGGGGGGGGGGTCTGTGTGTCATGTTTGCCCAAGATTCGTTGTTTGTAGAAGTCACAGGGGTCTCTGGAAGTGGTAGCCATTTTGGAAAATACATAGATAGATACATCTATACACACATTTTCACACACACACATACACTTATGTTTTAGCATATTTCCACCATCCAGAAATCCATTAGAATAGTAGAAGGCTGGAAGATGGGTGTTCATTGTACAAATTTGGCATGATTTTGTTCCTAAAGCCCTTTTAGTCAGGCAAGCTGGATATGTTCTCTCTTCTTTATTATAGTGATTGTTTTATGTGTTCTGTGGGTGATACATAGCTTACACAACTGCTCTTTTCTCTCTCTAAAGCACGATATACTTCTTAAAAACTTTATAGATTGCTAAAAAGCAAATGAGGATACAGAGAATTCTGCTACGCTAACTGCTGGTAGCACTTCAATGTTTCAGCCTGCATTTTTTCTAAACCGCTGTACTGTGATTGTATGACAAGATTTGGGCCTGAGACATTCATATAAATAATTAAGATAAATTGCAAGTCCACATGTACATATTTTGAATGTAATTTTTGACATTTTAATGTTTTAATATTTTTATTATAGTGATTTGCAGTCCAGGAACATATAACCCTCATGAAGGAAATCACTGCCTTCCGTGCAACGAAAGCTTGACGTATGGAGCACGACATTGTCAACACTAAACTTTTTGCTTTATATCTTGATAATGCAAATAAAGGATTTTTTTTCAAAATTCCAGTTTAATATCATGCCAGTTATTTTTTTATATCATCTTTCGCAGAAAAACTGCAACCAAATCCCATTTGTTTTGTATACTCTGGAACACCACATTTTGATTTTCTATTTTCCCAATAGCTTTACTCTTTATTAGGTAAAGGTAAAGGTTTTCCCCCGACATGAAGTCCAGTCGTGTCCGACTCTGGGGTGTGGTGCTCATCTCCATTTCTAAGCCGAAGAGCCGGCATTGTCCATAGACACCTCCAAGGTCATGTGGCCAGCATGACTCCATGGAGCACCATTACCTTCCCGCCGGAGCGGTACGTATTCATCTACTCGCATTTGTATGTTTTAGAACTGCTAGGTTGGGAGAAGCTGGGGCTGACAGCGGATTCGAACCTGCAGCCTTTCTGCCAACAAGCTCAGCAGCTCAGTGCTTTAACCCACTGCGCCACTGGGGACTCCACTTGATTACTCTTGATTAGGTTCCACTTGATTACGCTTGATAGTGGTGTATAACCCCAGATTTAAAATCAGTTCTTGGAAAGTGCCAAAGTAGGGATCCTGGACTTTTTTCCTTGCATGAAGAATAAATAAATATGGAGTCACCTTCGGGCTTAGAAAGGTGGTATATAAATACGATAAATAAATAAATAAATATTTTTGAATTTGTTGTACCCTGCCTCAAGCCATCATGTATTATTATTATATTTCTATTTGTTCCTTATCATTCCTAGCCTTGGCACTTAATTTTTCTGTCAGCTTTTACAATGTATTGTAATGTAATATAACTGAGTCATGCACTGCTAATAGGCTTCTATTGGAAATGCTGAGTCATGCATTAACTGTATATAGGGAATCATTTTGGGAATGTGTTCTGGCCTGGTCCAGGTGATTGTGAATGATGCAATCCTGGATTTGAGTTAAGTTAATGAGTTTGGAACCAATCAGTGATTGCTATGTGTAAATGTACAGAAATGTATATAAGGAAGTCATGTACAGTGTATATTTCTCTCCTTGTGCTGTGATGCCCTTTGCCGAAGGCTCTGTGTAACTGATTAAAGTAACCTGTCTGCTAAGACAAGATATAACCGTGTGCTGTGGTAAGTTTGTAGTGTCATCTAGATTGGGGAAAACAATGGTAAAACTGACAATAGCCAGGCATGTGCTCAAGTGTCTATAAAGAGTTCCAGAGTGACTGCAGTCTGTGGGAGCAGTTGACTGAAAATACTGTGCAGGAAGAAGCTACTGGAAAGCGCTGAAGTTGTGCAACTGATCTGCTGCTGAATTGTGAGATAAATTCCTTCCTTCTCTGCTTTTCTCTCCTCTTCTTGTCCCTTTCCCAGCTCAAACAGAGGGAGAGGGACAAGAAGAGGAGGGGAAAGGGAGAAGGAAGGAATAAAATAACCTTGGGAGAAATCCAAACATGGAATATTTCTGGGGGAAAAAGGTAAGTAATTCAAATTTGGATTTGCCCCTCCCACCTTTCTTGCATAGTTCAAAATTGCTTCGGAAGGCAAAAGTTGGGAGTTTTTTATGACTTTTAGGCTCTTCCGAATGAACCTATCCAAGCCTATTAAATAAATGTGATGACATAATCGAGATTTAATAAAACCATATTTTTATTACTGAAGTAATATTTAGCAGACTATATAAATTAATATTTGTATGAAATTTCAAAATAAGGTAGATTGGGACAATCTTAAACAATAAGCATTTTAATCTTAAGCTTATTTATTCTTCCATCAGTTGAATAGCAATCAGTTCATAGATGGTCTTTCTTTTCATGAAGCAAAAGACAAACAGAATCAATGAACAGGAAATGTTAAATTATTTCTGAGAACATCACATAAACACATTGTTTCTATAATAAGCTAGTAAGGACACCCAATTGTTTAAACTGATTTATCGTATTTTTACTAAAGTATCACTTGTGGCCGAGTACGATTGTCTTTCAGAGTTAGTCTGTAAATGACTTTGGAAGTTCCTTGTATATCACTTTGGGGGCTTTTAATCAGGAAAATAATGCTATGCAGGCATACTGCACATTATATATTTAGAAACCTAGATACATTTTCTTATTCAGATTTTTAATATATTTTATATTAGAAATGTTGGACATCTCAGAGAACTGTCAAATTGACAATTTGTAAACCACTCTGGGATTTTTTTTGACTGAAGGCTGTGATTTAAAAACCCCCAAATAAATGAAAATTTTAAAAACAGCAATCTTCTATATTGTTTACAGTATCCCATAGTAATCTTATGCATCCAACATTTGTGCATCACAAATGTGTATTTGTCTTCTGAAATTTCAACTCTTCTCTGGTCCCAGTGAATCAGGGTTACCAGGCGTCAACGGATATTAAAGGACAGCTCCATTTTTGAATGAAAGGGTCCCACATTCCGTTACATTGTTTCCCTGGGTGTCAATTGTCTTATATTTCCACCAGCCTCTCCCCTTCCTCTCTCTTTTTGTGTTGAAAAAATTGAAAATGTTCAATAAAAACATTTTTAAAATGCTTGTAACATACCCACACTTTTGGCAACATGCCAGAAAACTGCTTTTCTACTTTTCGACCACTTACTGAAATCTACGAGGGCTGAATGAAAAGTAATGCCTCCATCTTCGTAACTCCTCAACAGATGGCAGTACTGGTATGCGGCAGTACTACTCTACTACTCTTTTCCACCAAACTCCAAGGAAGCCCCTCGAGTGCTGGACAAATGCCTGGCTGCTGTGGCTGGCGGGATGAGGAAGAACAAGCTGAAGATTAATCCTGACAAGACAGAGGTCCTCCTGGTCGATCGTAAACCAGATCGAGGTATAGGGTAGCAACCTGTGCTAGTCAGGGTTACACTCCTCCTGAAGTCACAGGTCCGCAGTTTGGGAGTCCTCTTGGATTCATCACTTACACTTGAGGCTCAGGCGTTGGCGGTGTCCGGGAGGGCTTTAGCACAATTGAGACTCGTGTGCCAACTGCGACCATACCTCGTGAAGGCGGATCTGGCCAGGGTGGTCCATGTCTTAGTCACCTCCAGATTGGACTACTGTAATGCACTCTATGTGGGGCTGCCTTTGAAAATGGCCCGGAAATTTCAGTTGGTCCAACGGGCGGCGGCCAGGCTGTTAACTGGTGCTCCTTACAGGGAGAGGTCAACCCTCCTGTTTAAGGATCTCCATTGGCTGCCATTCATTTTCCGGTCCCAATTCAAGGTGCAAGTGCTTACCTAAAAAGCCCTAAACGGTTTCGGACCCATCTACCTGCGTGACCACATCTCTGTATACGAACCCACACGCTCTCTTTGTTCATCTGAAGAGGCCCTGCTCACAATCCCACCTGCATTGCAAACACGATTGGTGGGGATGAGGGACAGGGCCTTTTCGGTGGTGGCCCCGCAACTCTGGAACTCCCTCCCCAAGGACATCAGGCAGGCCCCAACATTGGCAGTCTTTAGAAGGAGCTTGAAGACGTGGATGTTCCAGTGTGCCTTCCCAGAATAAGGAATCCTAAGCAATATGTCCCAAATGCACTTTATAAGAGATTTAGTACTGTCTGCACGCCCACCTATCTTTAAAATATCCAACCTATTTTCCTGGACATGCCCAGCATTTTAAAATTTTAATTCTTACATTTGGCCCCGCCACAGGTTTTTAATTGCGTTGTGTCATTATCATATTGTTTTGCTTTGTTATGAGTTATTTATTGTTGTATTGTTGTTGTTATGTTTTATGATGTATTTTGGGCTTGGCCTCTTATAAGCTGCACCGAGTCCTGCGGGAGATGGTAGCGGGGTATAAATAAAGGAACATGCAACATACAATTATCCTTCTTTAGGGGTACATTTCAAATCTATGATACTATATCTCTCTGTGTGTGAATCATATATATCTATGGCTGGATGGCTCTTTGTCAGGAGGGCTTTGATTACGTTTTCTTGCCCTGGTGAAGGGAGTTGGACTGGATGGTCTTAAGTATTTTCTGTTGGTCATGGGGGATTCTGTGTGGGAAGTTTGCTCCAATCCTGTTGATGAGGTTCAGAATGCTCTTGGGTTGTAGGTGAACTATAAATCACAGTAACTACAACTCCCAAATGTCAAGGTCTATTTCCCGCAAACTCCATCTGTGTTTATATTTGGGCATATTGAGTATTTGTGCCAAGTTTGGTCAAGATCCATCATTGTTTAAGTCCACAGTGCTCTCTAGATGTAGGTGAACTACAACTCCAAAATTCAAGGTCAATGCCCACCAAACCCTTTTAGTGTTTTCTGTTGGTCAGGGGAGTCCTGTATGCCAAGTTTGGTTCAATTCCATCGTTGGTGGAGTTCAGAATGCTTTGATTATAGGTGAACTATAAATCCCAGCAACTACAAGTCCAAAATGACAAAATCATAATTTTTGATTGATGGTCACTCCTTATGTTGTGAGACATTTTGTTGCCAAATTTGGTGTGATTTCGTTCATTGGTTCTTTTGTTTTTAAGGTACTCATTATGCACAGACCATTTATATATATATATATATATATATATATATATATATATATATATATATATGTGTGTGTGTGTGTGTGTGTGTGTATATGTATGTTTCTGTTTAATGCTTTGTCTGTTTATATATCTAATGTAATAGGTTATGTTTTTATCTTAATTTTCGATGTTAAGTTATAATTTGTTTTTATATGTTTGGGCTGCTATTTTTGTTATTATGTGTTTATTGGTTGTCGTATTCAGGCATTGAACGTTTGCCTGTTTGTGATTGGAATCCACCTTGAGTCCTTCGGTGAGATAATATAAATAAAAATTTTATTTATTTGTTATACAAATTAGTGAAATCCCAATTAAGACCTTAAATGTTGAACTAAACTGAGTGAATAGGCAAGGAAAGGGTAAATGGAATTATAACATAATGTACATTGGAGTCCGTAAACAAACAAAAACCAATCCAGTTCAACTTAAGGAGTTCAAAACACCAACACACTCTTGTATAAGCGGGAAGGAGAGGCATAACTTTATTGGTTACAGCTGTGAATAGGGACTTGGATCTGGACATTGACCAATCCGCCCAAACCTCTATGTTACAATATTGGAACTAATGCAAAATAAAAGTGAGTGGAATGGGATGATGCTGAGAAGGCAACTGCCAAGTGAATGCTTGAGTGGGAACTCACTTGATAGAAGCAAAGTCTGCACCTGGGAAGCTAGTTGGGTCCAAAACTCAATGAGCTCAAACCTTGGCTACAGGTTCCTGCCTCCTCCCAAGACTTAGGGTGGAGCATAAAGAACCTTGGGGGGGGGGGGGGGGGGGGGGGGGGGGTACATCGCCACAAAGGTTACAGACTTCTCTCATCTCTACAAATTACATTATCATTCCCATTATGCTTTGTTTGTGAGCTTTCAGACATCTATCAGCCTTAGACTGAACATAGATGCCGGATTAAATGTTCCAAAAGCCTACCAATATAAAGCCAACAAAAGCAATGCTGATCTGGACTGGGATATTCTGAATCAGCATCGCCATGGTCCACACAGCCAGCCGCTGAGTCTATTCCGCAGCATGCTCCCCAGCCGGTCTGGCAGCTGGATAATGGCTGCACAACCCAGCTCTGCTGAAACTGGTTCAGTGTGTGGGATCACCATCTTATCTTGCCCCTGTTGTTCTAAGCTTTGTGGTATCTACCAGGCACAAAAATGATAGAAGTCACTACTCGCATTTGTAATGTGAGCTAAAGCAACAAAGTGATGTGAGAGAGGAGAGGGGAAAAGGAGAACTTTACCTTTCCCTTCCGGCGCTAAGGCATGTGGGAGAGGCTACTCCCACACTTTGGGACTCTCTTCCTTAGTGGGATTGGACAATTATTCAGCAATTATCTTTGGGAATTGATTGTTAATAAGAAAGGGGTTTTTATGGTGCTATAATGCTTCTAATCTATGTTCCAAATAAGATTTTAAATGTTTTTAATTCTGTTGTTCAATAATATGGTCTCAATGTTTACATTTTTACCATATGTCTTTCTTGAGCCCCTTGAGTCCTGGCCTGGAAGAATTTTTTTTAAACTATTTTTATTTTACCTACAATATCATATGAAAG